TATAAATAAGTCTTGTTTTGCTTATTAAGACAAAAAATACTTCTTTTTTTTTTTTTAAATAGCCAGTTATTTGATATTTTTAAAATTCTGATAATTTTGAGTAATTTCAATCGAGTTTCAATTAAATAAACAAATAAATTCGGGGATATAGATTAAATATCTATGTGGCTCTGACACTTCAGTAAGAATTTCATTCTTACGTATATAAGATATTCTATTCATCGTAATCTCAAGTAATCCATAGATTTTTGGCATAGGTTGATGATAGTTTGAAGAACTCTATGACGTCTCGCAACCGAGTGACGTCAACATACAACAGACTATTTTTGCTTAATAGCTAGGGCAAAAACCGTCTCTGATTCAGCATAAATAGCAAAATTAAGGTTCTTACTTTCGATAAGGAATCATTTACAATCAAAAGCTAATTACGAAAATAGTATTGGTTTAACTCGAATGTCAATAATTAATTAAGCTTCATTGTTATATTGAGTGATTTACTGCATAACAATGTGAAGTTGTTTTTAACATATTGTTCAATAAGCCTCATTTTGGAAAAAAAAAAACATGTAGATTGGTATTACATTGAGGTTGAACTTATTTGATAAAATATTAATTCATATTAATACCTAAAGAATGTAAGTTTATTTTTCTAAAGCTACTCAGTTCACTACTACAACTGATTTAACATCTTAAATTAAATTGCTTAATCTTAAATTTAAATATTGCTCGACTCTGACACTGATATACTCATAATTTATTGTAATTTAGAGAAACTTGTTTTTCCAATTAGTTAATAATCAAATTCTCTTATAGTTTATATTTAATAGTTTCTTAATACTACTAACACTGAGAGACTGTCGATTATTCCAAATAAACCAAATTAATGGTATTTTATCGGAAGTCATTTTGAAAGTTCGGCAATTCATCCCTGTTAGAATATTTCATTGAGGTATTAGACTTTGCTGATATTTAAAAGCATTTGTTTGTACATTGATATAACGAGTTTAATCAAAATCGTTAGATCCATTTTTGAAAAAATTGTAAAAAAGTTTTTTTTTTTTTTTTTTGTTTATTTAATGAAATTTACAACTGTATACAAATACAACAAGTAAATATGCGCAAATATAAATAATGGCATGTACAGGCTTGAAGAGTTACTACCCAGTGGTAGCACTCTCTAAATAATTTTAAGTAAGAAGATCACGAGGCCATCTCCTTTTCAGACGCGTAGGAGGATTATCAGGAATCGAGAAAGAAGCAAGAGTGGAAACAAGCGGATTTAGATGGGACTGAAGTTTATCATGAAAGGATAGATATCTGGCTCGAGCTAAATCAGCGACATATGGTACATTAAGGTCTTTATGAATGGTTTTATTTGTGACAAAGTATGGAGCATTAAGGATTTTACGGAGGATTTTGGATTGTAAGGATTGGATACGATAGGAATTCGATGGTTTGGTGGAGCCCCAAAGCTCAAAAAAAAGTTTAAAACTGATTATGGAAAGACGTATTTTCGTTAGCTCGATTTTAAAGACAACGATTTTTCTCGGTCGTTTTCTCACTCTTAATATTTCATATATAGGTAAGTAAAAGTAAAAAATTAATATGAAAAATAAAGCGCTCTCGATCAATCTCCACTGGCTTTAGTACCAGTGACGCGGTTAAGAGTAGCGCAGAGACCTCCTGGAGTTCTGCTTTTCCTCCATACTTGGAGCTCGCTTGTTCGGAGTTCCCTAGTCTGATAGTAAATAGTGTATACAGACTGTCTGTGTTCTTTTTTTATTTACTTATCTTTAAGTTATTTTATTTGTATGTACTTTTTGATGATTATTTAGTTGTTATTTTGCTCATGTTTATTTTATATATATTTTTTTTGTGCATATAGTGTGAATGTGATCGTACCTCACTCTAACCACTGCCCATATGACACATCACCCATATCACCCAATAAATAGACAAAAAAAAAAATGAAAAATAGTCTTAGTTTCGATCACAAAAATTACAAATAAATAATACTATTTATTTATGTAATAAATAATATTACACTTTGCTTCCACTTATTGAAATATGATGAGGCGACAAACGGCTCTCACATTACTTCGCTGTGATGCCTAAATCAGCAGAGACTGTGTTAACATTGCCAAATCGTGATCATTCGAGAAGAGAATGTCACCCAAAATAAACAGTCTATCGTAAGAGTGCCTCACCGCTTAGTAATTTTTTCAGATTTGGAGATTAAAACTGATAAAATTACCTTCAACTGCGCATATTTTGGTTGTCTATATTTAAAAAATAATAATAAATAATTAACCTATTAGAATAAATATGCTTTATCTCGACGGATAACTGAATGATATCTATATATGTTTTAATTATGATAATGAGTAAACCTATTTAGATATAAATAGAAACAAATAAATTTCTCATTTTGAGACGTCACTTTTTTATTATTAATTTAAGTTTTTTTTCTAAAAGTATTTATAGACTAGGAGCTACGGACTTTTTCATTTAACGGAAGGACTTAAAGCTAGTAACCATTTTAAATTGTAGATAAACCTCATCTGAGCAACTTCCGTCAGTCGGTTGAAATCCGTTGCTTTCAATGCGAAAATTTAAATTAAAGAGGCGAAATTTGACGGCTCATTTAACGGAAGATCATACATCTGAAATTGTGGTATAATGTGAAGAATATGTCTCTAAAACAGAATTCACCTTGACTGACGATGTACTCGGTTGCGTTCTGCAAATATCTCGGAAAGCAATGGAAAATTTCGTTTAGAAACATCAAATTCAGATTCATACTCCAAAAAACATACAAATCCAAAGTAAAACCGACTTTTTAAATTTTTCCTTCATCCAACTTACTCAGTGGTACAGGCTCCTTTTTATCGAATTATTAACACCCGCCTGAAACTTCGTATAGTTTAATAATTTCCTCTCATCGTAACCTACGACTATTTTATTTACGATTACTCTTGGAATCGGGGCGTTTTCGAAGTGGAGGGGAGCAAACTTTGTCTATTTAATTAGGTACTAAAAACTCATAAATACTCATTTGCTTTCTACTTGGATTTTAAGATAATTTGATCAGGAAATCGAGAAAAAAAAGTGGTCTTCAAAAATATTGAGCCGTTTGGCGTGACCTGCACTCCCAAATTTTCAAAATAACGAGATTATATAGGACAAACGGCTTAATATTTTTGAATACCACCTTTTTTTCTCGATTTCGTGATCAACTTATCTTAAAATCCAAGTAGAAAGCAAATGAGTATTTACGATTTTTTAGTACCTAATTAAATAGACAAAGTTTTCCCTGCTCCAGATTGAAAATGCCCCAATTCAAAGAGTTTTCGTAAATAAAATAGTTATAGGTTACGATGAGATAAAACTATTTACTGAGTTTCAGGTGGATATTAATAATTCGATAAAGAGGGGTCTGTACAACGGACTAAATACCTTCAGACTGGTCTAATTTGATGACTTTGACGCGTCACCAAAAGGCAACCGATCAGTCGAGATGAATTCTCTTCCAGAGACATATTGTTGAAATATTATCAGACTTTCAGCCGTATATTCTTCCTTTAAATGAACCGTCAAATTTCGCCTCTTTACTTTCAATTTTGAAAGCAACGGCTTTCAAGCGACTGACGTAAGTTGTATTCAGATGAGGTTTATCAACAATTTAAGTCCTTCCTTTAAATGAAATAGTTTGTAGCTCCTAGTCTATTAGGTGTTCATGTTAAAATAATTATTTGAAAAGTAATGTAAGTAAAATATGAAAGAAGGTTGACTGACTGACGCTGCATTTCGATTCGCACTTTCCTCTTCCATTAAATGTTTCACAAAAACTGTGAACAAATACTATTCCGTTCTATGCTGCGCTCACTGAGCAGCAGGACATCACATTTTTTTGTTTTGAAGGCTTAATAGAAGAAGAAAGCACAAATTGATATGTAGCACAACATAGTTTCAAACGTGGTCGAATGAAAAATGTGTATTTTTTTTTGTACAGCCCTGATCTGCGATGCCTCTTAATATGCTCCGTATCTTAGGCCGAGTGAAAATTGAAATTCATGTCAGTGCAACACAATATTTGTAAAACGTTTAATAGAAGGAGATAACGTGAATTCAAAGGCATAATTCGCCTGACCGATACTTAGAAATTTACTCAGAAACCCAGATCTTGCGGTGAGCTATGAAACGTAGAACCTATAAGCTTCACAAAAGTTACCAGGATTGAGTTAAAAAATAAGGCAATGTATCTTAATATTTTTATTATATGATTCTCAGACAAAAAACCATATAAAGATCATTTGCATAAAAAAAAAAATATAAGTCACTTTAGAACAGTTTTGATCTGTTTAAGTTATTTAATATAAACATTATATACTAGATTAGATTAGGAAGTTCACAAATAAATAAAGGATTTTCGAAAACCTCAACATCAACCCAATTTTGGCTCCAATGTGGTGGCCAAGATGATTTGTTTGAATTTCAAATTGGGAAACAGAATGCCCGGAATTCTAGAAATCGGTCAAAAACGTTGCTAAACAAGAAATTACAGGAGAAAATAAATATAGGACATATCTTGCGCTATATTTTAAAGTAATCATAAATTTTACAATGCTTAAACTTTTTAATTTTCTCTGGTTTAAATATATAAATATATATATATATATATATATATATATATATATATATATATATATATTTTTTTTTTTGTTTTTCTGAAATCTGTTATATAATTTTTAGACAAGAGTTACAAGTTTTCTCCTAATTAGGGAGTCGTAACGGTCGAAAGTTGAACGTGACCTGAAACGATCTTTTCAAATCTCAAAACTAAAGTCAGCAAAAAGTAAAAAAAAAAAAATTATTTTTTTATTTAGAAATATAATAATCTGTCACATGGACAATAATTATAGCGATAAAGTAAACATATAATCAATTTTTGTCAGCAATTTGACCTTAAAAACTAAACATAAAAATTGGCAGGTACTTACCTCTTCTACCTTGAGACGTTCTGCCAAGTTCATGGTTTCTTCAATGGCAGGTAACAAGGTGGGGAATATTTCTTTATCGAGATATTTCCATTCCTCGGTGTCTGAAAAAAAAAAATTCGTTTTTAATAAGTAAATTCAGTTTCAAGAATGAGCATTAAGTTATACATTAATTCATAAATATAAACAAAACCTGCAAACCATTTTATATTTATTATATTTGTATATAAAATTTTGGTGTGATAATAATAAGAAAATAGAATATAATAATAAGAGGAGAACACTATGGTATCGACATAAAAAAAAAAAAAAAAAAATCATAAACCACATCTTGTAACCAATGAAGGTTGGACTGAACAATAATTAAGGACATACTGTTTCTTTTTTTAGTAAAAATGGGTTTACAATTAAATACGAATAAGCTAAAACAAAAAACAGTAGGATGCCTGATCCGCCCTCTTCAAGATTTGTTTTTATTAGAATGACAACTTCATTGTTAAACAATTACTAAAACGTTTCTTGAACCAAATGATTGCTTTTTGAAATAGTAATTTTCTCTTTGTGGATTGATTTAATCAATCTAACTAATACATTTTCACTAAAGAATAACAATTTATTAAAGGGACAAAGCATAGAATAGGAAAGAATACATTTTTTTTATAAATTTTATTTCAATGGAAATGCTCCATATTTATTTATATATTTATATCGACAGCCACACTGGAGAAACCTGTAAACACTATTTAATTAGAATGTGCGGTTTTGAGCTTTGCCAATTAAACTTGGCCTCGAATATATTCATAAAACGAATTAAAAACGTTATTTATAAGACTATATCTTTGTCTTAAGCATGCAATAAAAATTGAACAGAAAATCTACTTCAGAAAATTTGGAATACGCAGTTTATTTCGTGTTATAAATATTTTGAAATTTTGCACTTATAGGCTTTGCAGAGTGGCTTTCGATATACTGTTGGTTTATTATTTAACTAAACATTAAAAAATAATAGTCCGTGGTACATACCTCTTTTTATCGAATTATTAACATCCGCCTGAAACTTCGTAAATAGTTTCATCGTATTTTATTTACGAAAACTATTGGAATTGGGGCGTTTTCAATCTGGATGGGAGCAAACTTTGTCTATTTAATTAGGTACTAAAAACTCGTAAATAAACATTTGATTTCTACTTGGATCGTAAATTAATTTGATCACAAGTTCGATAAAAAAGTGACCTTCAAAAATATTGAGTCGTTTGGCGTGACCTACGCCACCAAATTTTCAAAATAACGAGATCATATAAGACAAACGCCCCAATTCCAAGAGTTTTCGTAAATAAAATAGTTGTAGGTTACGATGAGATGAAACTATTTACGAAGTTTTAGGCGGATGTTAATAATTCGATAAAAAGTGGGTCTGTACCACGGACTATAAATAAAAATAAAAATGATGCAACGATTTCTTTTTGAATTTGAATTTATTTTGTTTTTGTTTCTAGAGGGAATCATCACCATCTATTGTAAGTGGTTTTCATTTTATACCTGACTTGGAATTTACCGATGATGACTCGTCATTTACCGAGTATTCTTGTGAAGGGATGGATATGGTAATTAGCTGAAGGGCTGTAAAAGAGTAAATATTTTAAGAACACTTCCTTCTCGAATTCTTCAGTTTAAAGAGTCCTTCCTTCTTCGTTTTCAACTCACATTGCCCATGAAATTCAGTAGCTACAGATGAGTTACGATGTATAAGATATTACAGAGTGTACATGATGTTTTATTTCCCCTTCTACATTAATTTATCCAAATGTTTTTTTTTCAGACTGTACTTAAATATTCCGATACTTAAGGAATACTTGTGTATTAATGAAAAATTAATCCGACACTTAAGAATGTTGATGTCGAATAGCCACGAATGTCATGCAATTCTCAGAGGACATAAACAGGTAACTAGAAAAAACATAGAAACAATTTTCGGTTCGTAAATTTTAAAGAGTTATGTCGTAGGTGTAGGGTGTGCAAGAAACCTGTAACAAACAAGTTTACCGACAGAAAAGTCCCTAATTGGCAATATCTGACTAGTTAAAATGCAATTAAAAAAAATATATGATTACAATTAAATATTCTTGTTTCACATAATAATAGTAATATAATAAAATAAAATGATATAATAATAAAATGACTTTATTAAACTAGTATGTGGACTGCTTTAAACTTATGGTGGTGCAATATGAAGAAGAGCTTACGTAAATGAACCTTCAGTAAATTCGCGACCGAAATATGGTCTGTCAAAAATATTTACAAGCAAGTTGTAACATTTAACAAAAATATTTATGAAAATGGAACATGCCTTCTTCGTACAAGGTATAACCTTTTACCGACCAAAATGGGAAAGATGGCTAATCTTATCATTTTTATCAGATTTTTTCTTTGAGAATTACGCAGTCGGCTGAAATCACATTTTTCTCAAGATTTCTTATGATTCATTCATTCTACAACGTTAATCCAGATGAATACTTCAATAAATTTTATTTCATTGATTCCAAAAATTTTTTCTCATGGCTATATTGTATGTTTCACAAGAGATTATTTTTTATTCATTCCCTAAAAGCTTGTTCTTAAGATGTACTTAATTATCCTATATAATTCATCTTCGGTAAACATGATGACCAGCTTAGGTCGTCCTAAATTTTAGCTAATATATATATATATATATATATATATATATATATATATATATATATATATATATATATATATATATATATATATATATATATATTACTAATTAAAAATTCTTATGTATTTTTATTAGGAATTACCTATGCCGGCAGGTAGACATGTTTCTTCCTGATTCATTGAATGCCATGCAATCTTAGCGTGCTCTGAAAAAAGAAATTAAGGATTTTAAGAAAATTCAATGTTTCCTTATTTATTAATTTCTAAAATAATGAATTGTAGAGAAATAAATATGTTTTATAATTTAGGCTTCAGAGATCATCAATTAGTTTTGATAAAGTAGATAATTATTAGTAATTGTTGAAACTAAATAAATGTATTTTTTTATTATGACTAATAACATTTTGGCAGTGTTTATAAAATTCGGAAGGTAATCGAAAGCTTAGCTTAAACATTCGAGTGATAATTTTTAGTAAACGATCTCTATTTATAATTAAATAATAACGTAGAAGAGAGCATAATACAAATAAGGTCCATTTATTTATTTTAAAAAATTGTTTGGAATGAAAATACCAACCAAACGTAAATTTGATTTTAATAAAAGATTACGTACGCCAAGGTGGCCCCTTGTCAGTTGCTCTTCAATCCTGTGTTAGTGTCCGTAATTTATAAAATAAGAACAAATTCGGGTGGAACGATTTTTAACAATTTAGCACAACATCTGGATAATATAATCTTGGCAAGATACTTCAAGTTTTATCAGGTGAACTGCAATAACTCCAGGGTGCTGCAAGAGAACTCGGGCTTGAGATTAATGTTCAAAAGACAATGTATATGCAGATGGCAATAAGTACGTGGAAGAGCGAACTATTCAATGAGAGAAGTATGTTGTCAAGAATACATGTATGTCGGTAGCTTGATAACCAACAATAATTTTACAGAAATTGATATAAAAGCTAGAATCGCTGCTGGAAACCGCAATCTTGCAACCGCAGGGTTTGCAGAAGATCCTTAAGTTCGAGAACCTCACAAGAAAGGCAAAGTTCTTAATCAGTAAGGCCAGCTGTTACGTATGGAAGTGTAGAGACAGGTCACTACTATTTTTTTATATTATTTCTAAAAAGGTGTTTTTTTTTTTTGTCGCCATGTCTACTTCAGTTCTTTATTAAATCCAATGATCAAGCTCTCATTTTGAAGAACATCTTCTCTTTCAGGTGCAAAAAAAGTCATATGCCCCTAAATCTCAGTAAAAAAGTTATCAAGTAAAAGAAGCTGAAAAAGAAGTACCAAATAAGAGTTTTGAAAGTATGGGAAAGAAAAGTACTTCGCAAGGGGAAGCCAGTTGGTGGACGATAGCTGGAGAGGCATCGACTGCGAAGGATGGATGATGTTAAGGCAGACCCGAAGACGTGAAGTGGACTCTACTGGAGAAGATTTGCTACAACAGAGCCGAATGGAGCAAGGTCTGTTAATGTTGGCCAAGGTCCTATATCCTATGTCCAAGGTCCTGCGAGTTTGTGAGTGAGATACTATAAACATCGAATCCGAATTCGAAAAACAAGGCATTCAGGTTGGAGAGACAACATTCGACAAATTCTGGACCGCTGGTAATCGATTTCCGATACGAAGGATGCATTCCTGCCTTCAGCTACAATGAAACAGTTGTGTGTTGTGGTGAAAGAAAACAAAGCTAAATAGAAGCATGCAGTTCTTTAAGACGAAGATTTTCAACAGATATAGGGAAAAAGATTTGGAGATTTTGTGGGTTAATTTATAAAAGGTTTGGTATTTACGATTTTAGTTTCCGAAAAGTATATAAAGAGAATGAAAGGGGTTCTCTGTCAACAAACTACCAAATATTTTAATCCGATCGAACACGTTCTTCGAAATCCAAACTATGTTTCCAAGCACTAGCGGATCCAGGATTTAATTTTGGGATGACCTCAGCCCGAAAGCATTATATATACGTAATGGTAATTACTTTTGTTACTTTGGAAGGAAAAGAAAGAAACTAACTACCTATATGAAATGGTGTTTAAGTGATTCTTAAACCCCCATTAAATCTAGTTACACGAACAATGATACTTTTATAGATTTTTTTTTTCATAATAAATGGTTATATTTTACCATTTTGGAAGATGGGAGAACTTCAGCCGGAAAGCCCTCACTCTCCCCTAGACCCGCCTGTGGATTATTCAAAAATATCTGCTGATGAATAATTAGAAAATATCCACCCCTTAGAATTCTATTAAATACCATTTCAGCGCGAACTTCAGAGGTTGAATATTTCTGGGAGCTGTAATGAGTAGTTTTTTTTTTAGTCAAATGTCTTTTTTTCTTGTCAAAATATTTGTCTCTCTCATTAAGCCCTTCTTGAAATTTGATTTCTATTGAATGGGGTGTGCATTACCCGAAGGAGATCACCATACATGTTTATTTTTTTCCTTGATACCGTTACCTCGCTATTTCTTACAGGGGGTTGTTCTAGTGGTACAAAGAGTTTCTGATCAGAGTGGGAAGGTTGAGATTCGAATCTATGTCATATGTCAGCATAAAAGTGTGGCAAAGTTCGATATCATTATTAGTATATAGAGAACTAATATAAAACACCAGCTTGTTAAGCATACAATTCCAGGCGGCTCCATCGACGGGCGAAGAGTCGCAGACAAGCTGCGTAGAAGAATCTTATTTGGTTTGTCCAACTTTAAGCTTGGAAAAGAGTTGATGTTACGGAATCAACTAGATGGATTATTAATTATTGTAAGATGAGAAGTAACATTGAAACCGAATAGTTAAGTATTGGCACGCGAATAATAAATTAGTATATGATCAGAATTATTTTCCTAGGGTAGGTACCGAAAAATTTCATTACCTTAAAAAAGTCTTGAAAGAATAAGTACCTGATAAAATCCGTTTCCAAAGTGGATTACCATTTATAACCTTGGGCCTTGGGCGTGTCTTCTTCATAAATTTGTCTAGTATTTGCTGAAACTTAACTTCGGACGTGACCTCCTCATCCGGTAGCTCACTGGACGAAGATTCGCTACTGATGCTAAAACTTTTATATATCTCATGAGCCATCGCGAGCGAATTAATTAATGTCCTATCCTACAACGTATGTGCACTTGTAACCTACCAGGACAGGCATAAATTGATGCAAAGCAGATGATTACCCATTTTATTCAGAAATCGATTGTAAAATGCAAAACTATTTTTATTTAGCTATCAAAATGTTTCTCTTGAACAGGAGGTGGTGAGGTAATCAATGTGACGATCGTCAAATTGGAAATGGGGATTTTTGTTCATGTATACCAAATTTTAAAGTGATCTAACTACTAATTTAAAAACTCTGGTGCGCACAACACACAACTTTCACTTACCTCTCGACTTAGAATAGAAATTATTTTTTTGGCAATGTTGAGCAATTCTAACATTTTTGAAGTACACTTTTAACGGAGCTATATCTTAAACCTTACAGCTAACAAATCATTAAGACCACTAAAATAAGAAAAACCCTATTAATTATACCAGCGGTAAACTATAAAAACCTCGGTACTCAATCTGTTTTTGAAAACCACATAACTCTAATCGTCTCTGAGCTATATATGTATATATATATATATATATATGCCTAGAGGGATTTGAAAGTATATCTCTATATTCAATCTATAAATGATTATGGATTATACGTCTATTAGTTATTAAACTGTTATTTTCCATTGTAAAGATTGCTAAAACGAAATTACGAGATCTTAATTGATTGCCATAGATAAGTCAAAAGTTGTCACACTAATTTTAAGGTTACATGATGATTTTTCGGAATAAACGGACGTTGCTACCTAATTATTTAAATAAAATATCAGATTTAGAATGATTGAACTACAGTAAATGTGTTTAAGGTTATAAACATATGCTTTATACCTCCATGAAATATTTTTATATTTCACTTCTTCTTTCACATAAGTAAGGAATAGTTGTTTAAACCACAGGCGGATCTACGGGGAGAGGGGAGGGGGAGTGGGCTTTCGGACTGAAGCCCCCCAAAACGGTAAAATATAACAATGTTTCACATAAAAAAATGTTGAAAACTATCTCTTAAAGTATTATTGTTTGTGTAATTACATTTAACAGGACTTCAAGAATCACTAAACCGCCATTTCATATAGGTAGTTAATTTCATTCTCTCTTTTTAAAATTAATTATATATTTGAAAAAAAAAATATTTTGGGCTGAAGCCCCTCCCCAAAATTAAATCCTGGATCCGCTAGTGGTTTAAACTATGTCATTGCCTTGATTAGGTGGATTTAAATACTTTTTTCAAACTTAAAAGTTTACATTTATTTAGTGAATTTCCTTGAATACGTGTGATTTCCGTTAAGTAATATTAGTTTTCAACAATTATTATTTATAATTTTTCGTCAGTCTCCATTACTTTCTACGACCTTCTATATTAGATATTGTTTTTTTCTAAAATTCTCCGCTTTCCAATGACATATTATACGTACACATTCTGACTAGTATTTCGGAAATTCATTTTCGAGCTAAATAAACATTTTCCGTTTTTTTCTCCATTTTTCAATTATCAAATTCTTTCAAAAGTTATATTTAGCATTTTTTCGTAACTGTTAATAATGAGTATATACCTATCTTAAATATGTAATATCAGTTTCGTACGACTTTTCGTTTTTGAGCTAGTCTTACCACACACAGACCATTTCGCAGGACTTGGTTATTTAGACCCAGGGACCTCAAAACCTGTATTTTCATTGAAAACTCAGATTCAAAAATATTCACGATAGTAATACTTTTCCCAACTATGTATTACATATATAGGTAAGTGAAATTAAAAAAATAATGTAATTTTTACAAATTTCGTCTTTAATCTCCTTTCTTCTCATTTTTTTCAGACTCAAACACCATCTGGGCTCTTGAACTGATGTGTCTTGCCGTTTTTTTTCGTGATAAACTTTTCTTTTTCAAGTCCTTTCCTAAACAATTGGTTTGGAATCCTGAAGGATCGGAACTTGAAGTTCTTAAAACATTTCTACAAAAGCTTATTGTACCACTTTGTGTGGCATGTTGTGATAAAGCAATTTTATTGTTGCTATTTTCGTTTGTTAATAAATACACACTCATTTACATATATTCATTCAACTTATTTTCCATATTTTAGTAACTTAAATAATTAAATATTAATTACTTACATGGCTAGATTAATTAAAACCAAATTAAAACGTTTAGATGCTGCAACTAGCTCACAGAGGCCTAGAGGCATCGTTTTCCCACATGTGGTCCATACAATTCTGTTTGTTCATCTCTTGGGATGGTAGGGAATTGTTCTGATGTAAGAAATTATTTGAACAAAGTTTTCAAAAACATTGAACAAATGATCTGTTTTGGAGTTCTGTAATCATTAAATTCTTAAAATAATATCAGAAGTAGTCAGACTTCTGAAGCATCTGCAAACTGAGGTCATTTTGAGAAAGTATTGGCAACCAACTATTGTTATATATCAAATTCTGTCATATTAATACAATCGAATATTTACTTAAGGTTCGCAAATTATATACTTTCCAAGAATACATAATAACTTGTCTCACCATCTATGCATAGATGATATGGCGAACCTTTATTCCTTCTCAACACCCTCCTTTCAATGCTTCACAGCAAGCACACATTCTAATCTCTTCGTATATAGTGATTATAATGGCCAATCTATGAATAAAGCATAATTACAATCGATCAACCCTGGTCTGGAAAGGTCGTTGATCGCCTCCTTCCCACACAATGTATCTTTATAGTTTTTATTCAACTACTTCATAATTAATTGAATTATAGTCATTCAACTTTTTACAAGAAAGCTTAAGCCACTATTCAAACAGTTGTTAAAATGCCATAGCAGTGACGGTCAGTTTGGACACATATAAGCATCAGTGTATGGTAGGTGTCCATGAAAGCAGTTGACACATTACATAGGGTCAGCCGCCTTTGAATAACTGGGCAAAATTACAAAGAGAAACAAACAGGTCTCTACAATCTCAAAGAGAACTATTTCCCTCAGTCACTATGCTAATTAAAACTACAACAAAACACTATAAACTTATAATAAAAAATAATATTTTAAAAATAAAGAGTAACAAAAATACTTGAAGGAAGTTAGTCTACTGTTCTACATATCATGGGTGATAAATATTCAGGACGCAGTCTTTTTTAAATTTTTTTATTTTTGGCAAAGTTTCAACCCAACATGTGGGTCATCTTCAGAGACCAGTACTTGATTGAACTCCCTCAGTGCTCAAACCACGCCCTGAAGATGACCCACATGTTTGGGTTGAAACGTTGGGAAAAATAAAAAAATTTAAAAAAGATTGCGTCCTGAATATTTATCACCCAGTAACAAAAATAATGTAGTTAGAGATAAAACAAAGATTAAAGAGACTATAATGCATCAGAAAAGTGCTGGAAGATAGGAACCTGTTTGAAAACCCCTGAGTCAATTTTAAATCTATTCATATCGTCGGCACCATGTTAAAGTAACGAATGTGCAACATTGGACAGGTTCAGATTTGTTACATTAACATGGTCCCAAAGATATATGTATTTTAAACTTATTTCTTATGTTTTCTGTTATTTGTTATTATTTTAAAGAAGATTCATAAGATATTATTAATTAATTTATTAGAAATCCAGTTGTATTTCTCGTCATTAGATTTTTTTTTTTGGGTCCTCCCCTTCCTCGCCTTTAAGGCTATACGGGATTTTCCTGGGCCAGGTAGTATGGGCGGTGGTTTAAAAGACACCCCCGGCACCAGGTCGCGAACTCGTGACTATATTTTATCATTGTATCATATATCAGGTTGCCGGGCAATGGTGGTGCTGTGTAAACATGTTGCCCCGTTCGGCCACCCCGTCATTTGATTTTTATAGTTTCGAGCAAAAAAATTACATATTTATATTCATGACAAGGGTCAAGAAAGTAACAATTTACTGATATTGTAACCTTCACTGGTCCCTTCAACAGATAATTTTTAACTTAAATTGTTTTAAGAACTTGTAAATTTCTAAATACTTGATGACCTAAGGGTTTTACGCCTTTAAACAACAAGAAACAAACATTACTTGCTGAGGTTTAGACTGTTAATATTATGATAGTAGAGAAACTTCTTCTATTGTTAAAATTATAATTTGGGAAGTGAAAATAAATCAGAAAATTGGTCAATCTCTTTATTAACATTACAACACTGGGACAAGGACAAAATATTCACATCTATTTTCTATTTGGGTTTCATTCAAAATAATAATAATACAATCTCAATATTCTATATTTTTACATATATATATATTTATTTCACTTTGACTGGACTTGTGTTACTTATTACATATGTGTAACTTATTATACAATATTTCATTATATTTATTTCGTTCAAAAGCATTTACAATTCAATTAAATTATAATATTTATCTACATTTTTGGAATTTCTTTGTGGGGAGGTAACGACAGGAAAGTTAACTTAATATATACAATGATTGTTTTGTTCATATGTATACATTTACATACATTTATATATTATTGTGCTATTCAATGTCCGACTCTTCAAACTTTCAAACTCTTTACCTGCAGGGGTTGTGCGCACATAACCCATGTCCTCTGCACTGGCATGATGGCAGTGAACAATGGCATTAAGAATCCTCAATTATCTACCATTAAACTAAACCTAATGTTCAATAAAAAAATTTCACATGTAAAACTTTCATTCGAAAGCGCTATAAAATAAAATTAAAAACAAAAAAATTTGGTTAAGTTATCGTATCGCATCGTCATTGTTTATATATTAATGTATACATTTATACATAATGTATAAAAAAGTAAAAAATGATCGCATTTCAACTGATCTAAACGAATAATATCTAAGGTATTTTGCTTTATAAGACAACATGCACACTGATGTACAAATTTGTCATGATTTATACACAGTATTGATATGGTTTTGTTTCGTCTAAAATATCCATATCGCAATAACCCGTAAAAACAAAATTATAATAGAAAAATAAATATAAAAAGGTATGATTTACAAGGATATAAACACACAAGTGTAATCTACATAAGATAGTTAAATAATTTTCCTTTCGATTTCATTGGTAAACTAAGGGTGATGATTCCCTTATTGTTATATATATTTTTTTTTTCAATAGTTTTGTTCATTTCTTAACAATCAGTCTTATAATAGTTAAACTAAATTAATTTTTTTCAAAATTTACAAGATAAAATGGTAATCAACTTATTAAACTAAGACTTGTATGATGAGCTATACATAGTAACTAATTAAATCTATAATAAAAATTAGGTCATCACGATAGGTTCTGATTAGAGATGTTTAGGTAGTATAGTGATCGAATGAGCCCAAGTATTCAAGAGCAGCTCGGTAACAGAACTCATACTGATCCTGCACAGACAAAATAACACTTATTAGATAATAAATTTATTAAAGAAGAAATTGAAAATAATGACATCTAGTTTAGAACTGAAATTCTATAAAATGGCTTTAATGAAGATTTAATTTGATCGAAACCAGTGCATATTAAGAATACTCAAGAAATTCGGAAACTTTTTCGAGATAACAATTAACAGAAACTAACCTCAGTCTGAACCATGGCAGGCCTCTGTGTCCTCAAAATCCTAACAGTCTGGAATATATCTACAACACCTTCATACTGCATTCTCTCAAGGACTATTGAAAGTGTGATAAAGACACCTGTTCTTCCAACTCCAGCACTGAAACAGAAACGTTTTGCTTTGTGTTTACTGAAAATAAATTTATTCTACTTGTAAATTGTAAATATATTATTATTACTACTACTTTCATTAGTTAAAAGTACTGGAATATTTATATCCAACTGAAATGTAATATTATAAAAAACTTTTTGTATTATTATTATTCAAATTTCCTACTAATTTTTTATCACTCATTAACAAGATCAAGAAATTTTTATATAGACCGTTCTTCCATTGAGCCATAAAGGTACAGGGTGTCAGTTCTTAATGGTCAAACTCTATGGGGTGATTCTAGACAAAATGTTCAACAAAAACGATTTTTTGATGCATGGGCCGATTCTGAACGGAAAAGAAGTTAAAACCAATTTTGTGTGATCACATTTATTTATTAAATAAGAAGGAATTGCTCAAAAACTATTCAAGATAATAAAATTCTAAGTACACCATCGTAGTGTAGGTAATTTTATTTTGAGATAACAGTGATTAAATGATAAAAAGGAATTTCGGGAGGCCTAATACTGCTGCAATTACAGTAGCCATACAAGAGCAGTATATCTCTGTACAGCAGCCGTATTAGCAGCCTCCTGAAAGTCCCTTTTATCATTGACCTTAGTGAATTTAATCATTGTTTTCTTAAAAAAAAAAATTTGTCTACTTTATGATGGTATAATTAGAATGTTATTATGTGGTCACATTTTTTATTGAATAAGAAGAAATTGCTCAAAAACTGTTCAAGATAATGAAATTCTACGTTTACCATTGTCAAGTAGAAAAATAGTTTTTTGAAATGTAGTTATTTGAATGATGTATGAAATATACCTTTAATAAAGATTAAGATAGTACCCTTTTGTGATTAAAAAAAAAAACGGAATAATAGCTTACTTAAAAGTTGATAGTTTATTTATTTTTATCATGTTTCATAAACCTGCTTAGTTCTAACTATGAATTAAAATTTTCTATTATTTTTAAAATGGTTATCTTCAAACCTTAAAGCAAATGAGTGATTGCAATGAGTTGGTTATAAGACATTTTAATTTTAACTATAATGGTGTTTAGCTCTTATAATATTTATATAAAGGAGGGTGAAAAATAAGTGATCCTTCAATTTTGAATTTGATCATCACACAACGAATGAGAATGAAAAAAAAAAAAAAAAAATTATAAGAAACATTAATAGAATATTGAATATGGACCTGCAGTGAACTGTAATTGGACCATCCTGACCAAACTGTTCCTTGGTCTTATGGACTTGTCCAATGAAATCGATGAATCCATCTCCAGACTTGGGAACACCTTGTTCTGGCCAATCAATGAATTGGAACTGCCTAAGTGTCCTCGAGGAACCGTCCCTGGCATCTGTGACTTTGAACTCCCTCAAGATATATTGAGGCATGTTGTACTCAGCTATTGGGTCAACCACAAAGCACTGATACCTCACTGATCTCTCTGAAGGCCAATATTGGTGACATTTTTCCTAAAAAAATGTAATACACTTATTAAAAAATATTATTAGACAACACATTTTTATAAAAGTGATATTTTATTAGACTAAAATTTAAAAAGTCAATAATTTTTCTGCATGACTCAGATCAAAAGTAATTTAACAAATGAAGGGTAATATAACTATTAAATAAACTTTCAACTTGTCTTCTTCTCCATACCCCTTGATAAGAGATGCTCTCTTAATCTAAATGGGTGCTCTCTACCTCAATAATTATATCTTTAATGTATCTTTAAATATAATAATTTATACATATGTAAATTTTCTTAGGATATTGATCAGGTAATAACGTATTGAGATGGCACTTTTCTTTTTTAATATTTTGATTTACTCATTATTATTTATCATCATCATCATATGTGGCACGACATCCCGTTACCGAGACTGGGCCTCCTCCAAGAGCCTCCGCCAGTTGGCTCTGTCTTCTGCTGCAGCTCTCCAGTTCCGTACACCAAGCAGGGTTCTTGCATCATAGGCCACGTTGTCCAACCATCTCGTCCTCGGCCTTCCTACCCGTCTTACGAGGTGCAGCTCCTCCATCATTATTTTCTTTGGTATTTCAACGGTGCTCATTCTGGCCACATGCCCTGCCCACCTTAGTCTGGCCAGTTTAATATACGTGACTACGTCGATGTCCGTATAGAGAGAACTGAGCTCCCTATTTTTTCTTTTCCTCCAGACATCACCCTCCTTTACTGGACCATAAATCCTTCTGAGGACTCCTCGCTCAAACACACTCAGCTTCATCTCATCGTTTTTAGTCATCGTCCAAGCCTCTGAGCCATATGTCAAAACAGGCCGAACAAGGGTCTTGTATATGATCAGCTTGGTCTTCTTTGAGAGGTACCTACTTCTTAAGTGTCGGCCAAGTCCAAAGACACATCTATTGGCAGCCGTGATCCTTCTTTGTATTTCTTGAGCCATGTCATTTTTGCTATTAATTTCAGACCCAAGGTATAAAAAACTTTTCACTCTCTCAAACTTAAAAGAACCTACCTCAAATGGAGAGTTCAGATCCACCTTACCACCAACTCTCATATACTTAGTTTTCCTCTCGTTGACTTCTAGACCTCATTATTATTACATTTTTAAATTTTATTATGAATTTTATATTTCTTAGCATACTTGAAAAATCCAAAATATCCAATTTCAGAAAATTAATTTCATTACTGATAAGTTTATTTTTAATTTATACTCTTTAAGCATTATAATTAATTATTTTTTTGGAAAGATTGAAGCATAATTTATTTCTCTCTGAAGAGTGATAAACAGAGAGCAATAAATAATGTTTTTCATGTGTTAATGGATGGAAAGTGTTAAGAAGGACAATACTTGATAAGGTACATAGTAATTTTATACTACCCTTAAGATTATTTATGAAGGTAAAAATTAATCAGGATTTGCAGTCCTTATGTGGATTATTTTGCTTGCCGACGTTTTGACCAAAGCATGTGAGTTATTATCATGACAACGGTTACTGTCTAGTCCAGTAACGAGAACCAAGTGAGTTGCAAGAGATGCACTTTATCATATTTTTGTTTATATCTTAGCAATAAATCTTTTTTATAACAAGTGTTAATACCTTAACAAGTTTTTATAAAGACATTCAATATTGATTTTCTTCTATCCTTTTTAATGTTTTATTACATTTAAACAATTTATTTTTTTTTCATTGACAAACATTTATAAATTGATACTTTTTTGTGATAAGCAATACACAAATATTTAATTGTTGCTATTAGAAATCTAAGACTTAATGTTAATCTTCTCCGAATATAAAGAAGCAAGGCACAAAATGTAAAGAAATATCACTATTTTTTAAAAAGGTAATAAGTTTTATTTTCTAAATGTGTAAGGAAGAAATTTACAACAAATAATCGGAAACTCACCCTTCCCATTTCTTTGAGCTTTGTCAACATTACAACTATTGTAGAATTATGCTCCCAAAGCATCCTCCACAAATCTTCAGTCGTCTCTGGCAGAGGACCTTGAGTAGCAATATATGCGCATCTTTGTCTGTAGCCATCTATCATAGATGCATTTATGTAATCTGACCCTTCCACACCCCTGAAATTAAACATAATAAAATAAACCAGATGTTGGAGAAACTTTTTAGTACAAATGAAGAATTTATAATTAAATAATACCTAAGAGGTTGGAGACAAACTCTAGTGCTTTCTAAGGGAAGGATATGAACCAATCTGTTCTTGGCTTTATTGACTGGAAGAGTAGCACTCAAGAAACGTGAAGAATCACTCTTGATTGTGGATAGCCTCTGTAAAAAAATGATAATAATTGTTAAATTCATTCATTCCACATTATTGCAGCAAAATAGAATTTTGATGAAAAGTTAAGAAAAAAAAAATAAAAAATCAAACTGATGATTGAAATTTCTTCAATTTATAGCTATACTGTGACAAAAGTTGGAACTCGTGTAGAAGAACTTAAGAGTTACAAAAACCTTATAAGTTTTTTTATTTGTGTTTCATTTCTTCATTGACCAAACTCTCCAACTAACTTCTCCAATATTCTTTTAAATAATCTACATTATGATAATAAAGTGTTTCTCTCTCTTCATAAATACATTAAATTGTAATAAAGAATTCAATAAATTAAGCTGGCTGAAGCAGTTTCTATGTTTACTACAAACAGTTTTTATAAACAAATTCTTCTTCATGAAAAAGTAAAGTAAAATAAATCATCACCAAATAAAAATAAACATCTATTATACCCAGGCCTAAATAACATTTTTTTTTAATATGTAGGATCTAAGGAAATATATGTCAAACCAAGGTCTTTACTCTGATAATACCCACCAATCTTTTCCCAAGAGGAAAGACAGTAAAGCAAGTACCTTGCTCACCTATATATGTACTAATATTAAGATGTGTATATTTGGGAAGTGTCTAGAAAACAATGGTTTATTTTACCTGAATAAACTACAAAGGATATATAAAAGTAATAATGTTACAAAAATAGTAGTTTTAATTTACAAACTACTTTCTGGTAAGTGAATCGACGGTCATTCCTCTCAATGACAATGATTTTTCCAATAACACATCATAATATGAAGATTTTAAATTAAAATTATTTCTAGATTATACTTCCCTTAACTGTTTGGTGATAACATAGCTAATTTGTGTTGATAAACAAATTTTAACAATTGAAAATATTTAGAACATAATTCTCTTTTTTGGAGGCACCATTATAATAATATATACATTGTTCAATGTGATTCAAGAATTTTAATCTCCTAGATTAAAATACTTCGATAAAAGTATTCTTTCTGAATTGATCATAAGTGTATCTTTCAAATAAAGAAATTCAAGTGTCATATCCTTTTTTCTTTCCTTCACTAATACAATGTTATTGGACTGACCATGTATACATCTGGGTTAAATAAGATAAATTGTATGTTTTACTATTAGAATCATCCATTTGTGTCTTTTTTTAGAATCAATATTGTTTGTAGTCTCACCATAAAAAAATCTAGTCCCTTCTTACAGCCATTGCAATAATGTTTTGAATGATTGTATTTCTCATTCCTGTTTCAGAGTAAAGTAAGTAAACCATCAGTTCAATTTAAAGTTTAGAGTTATGTAAGGTTTCTCATAATTCTTAACTCATAAAAAGTGAAACACTAAGTTTATCACGAAATAAGGTCAATGTTACAGCTATAATGTTGGTCATTTAATATAATGTTAAATTGTCATTTTGCAATTATTTATAAAATGTAGATTAGTTAAAATTTGATATAAGAATAGTTTGAGTTCTACTATTTCATTTTTTTAAAGAGATGCTTTCTAACTATTTATAAATAATTTTTTTATCAAGCTATAATTCAATCAATCTTCCATCGTGCTCACCACCAAAAATTATAAGTATTTGTAAGGAATAACAATTTGAGCAGCTTAGTGAAATGATTTCATATATTTTATGAATCATTTCAATGTACTTAGAAATCCATTTTGAAACAAAGAGGAGGTTAAGGATGGTGAATTAGGTTATAAAAATATAAAACACATACAGTTTATTTTTGTTTGAACATCAAAATAATTTTTCATTGAAAATAAATTGCTAATATAATAATAAACCATTTTATTCATAAGTGTACTTGCGACAAATTTTACCATCAGGAAAACGTCAGAGATATTGGGGAATAAATTAAATTTTAGAGAAAAAAACAAAAACAAATTATCTCCTATGATAAACTAAGCATTTGTAAGTTCATCATGAAGTACTTAGAACTAAACGATTTGGAACAATGTATATATATATATATATATATATATATATATATATATATATATATATATATATTATATATATATATATATATATTATATATATATATATATATATATATATATATATATATATATATAAAAGTATCAATCCCAGATAAGAAAGAAAAATCAAGAAATATTAAAATATAAATTTAATATCAATAGGATTTCATCATATAATGAGGAGGGATGATGAAATATATTCCTATATTTATACTAAGTTTACATATTTACCTTAAATTCAAGTTCCATTCCAGTAATAGAGTCTCCAGGCTCAGTCTGCATAAGCTTTTGAATATGAGTGTGGAGATTTCGTGCGGGCACTTCAGTGTTACCACACTGCACAGCCTCCAACAGAGCATCATGGATAAATATATACTGATCCTCAGTCTGAAAATTTAAAAACTCTATCTTAATAATTGGACTTATCCTTTCATGGCCTATCTTCAATACAGAAAATTCAGTAGTTCAGATGATAAAAAATCATCTATGTGACAGTTCTTATGAGACATAATATGTTATTATTCTAGCAGGTATTGATGAGTGTAAATTAATTTTACCTGAACCATGTAGTTCCTCTGAGCCCTGAGACATGTTACATGGCCGTAAATATCAATCGATTTCTCTTGCTTCATTCTCTCTATCATTGAATCAATGACAATGAAGCAACCAGTCCTGCCAACACCAGCTGAGCAGTGGACAACCAATGGACCTGCGTCTTGAGGATTTGAATTTCTCACCCTACGGAGGAACTGAAGGAATGGTGCAGGATGATCAGGAACCCCATGGTCAGGCCAGGCGGTGAACTGGAGCTGGCGAACTTCCCTTCTCTCACAGCTACCTCCCTAAAAGAAAAAGGACAGTGTGAAGATAAGAAATAAAATGCATTTAAAAAAATCTGGTAGGCCCACTCACACGACTTTCCTACCTATTTCAAAAAGTTTTTTTATCTTTACATATGTTCATGAAGAAACAAAAAAGAATTGAACTAGATATATTTTCCTGAAAATTGATCAAACATAAGATTTGAGTACGATTTATTTGATAAACTAAAGCAATGTAAACCGGCTTAAGATACATCAGTGTAAAAATGTCAATACTTCCTCATATTCCTGTCATCTTTATTCTCTCATTCACCCCTTTCTGACACCAGGATATGAAACCATAATCTTTCATTGGAAATTGAATAGCTGTAACTTCGTTAATAGTTGTCCAAAATGAACGATTTTTATATGGCTTTGTAGGGAATTTCATTACCTTTCAAATGACATGCTACACACACAGACAGACCAATGGCTAAAAATGTGTTTTTTCGGACTCAAGAGGCTCTGAAACTTATAGATAGTAGGAAAATTTAATCAAAATCATTAGAGTCGTTTTTGCGCTACAGTCTATAGAAAAACATGTTTTTCATTTATTGCGCACAAGCTATTGCGCATGGAGCATCGAATTTCTGTCACAGCCATCAGTAGTCAAAACTCTACAAAATAAAAAAAGAAGCAACAAAATCGGTTCAGCAGTTCCCGAGAAAATCTTGGCACAGACAGACAGACAGACAGACCAATGGCTAAAAATGTGTTTTTCGGACTCAGGAGGCTCTGAAACGTATAGATCCGTCGAAAACCGCATGTCGGAAATTTGACCCGATTGCAATACTTTCCTTACCTAGTATAGGTAGGAAAGTAAAAATTCATAACAGATTACTAAATCATTCAAAGTAAAACAGATACCTATGAAAAATAATTTCAGAGAGTTGGTATCCACCACATTTTAGAGGGTATATATCATCCACAAATTTTAAAGAATACAGATTTTATGAATAGGTATAAAAAAAATATATATTATTACCTATAATCTCACTAAATATTCTTTTTAAATTTTCCTTCCAATATAAATAATACATCACAAAAATTTTAAGGTAATTAATTATGATTACATATTAAAATTTGAAAATGAAAAGCTATGAAATAATATACCCTATTGATATGGAATGTCCTGATGCAGTACGTAGCCAGTTCTTGGACATCAGTGAGGCTGACAGTGATCATTCCATAGGTCTCAGTACCTCTCGTCGGCCAATATTGGTCACACTTTATTCTCGTCCTCTCCTCAAGTTTTGTCATCATCACTATTGTAGATGTTCTAAGCTCCCAACACATTCTCCAGAAGTCACCACACGTTTCACTTAGAGGTCCCTAAGTTAAGAAATTATCTTTGAAATAACAATATATACCTAATTTAGAAATGTAAAAGTTTTTAAGTTAATAGATAAGATAATTAATTTTGGGAGAAAATGAATATAAAAGAATATATATAAATAAATGTGCATGGTTCCACAAACTAGGAAAACTTTTTAGTCATATGAAAGGCAAAAAAACTGATTACTCTTTTCCATCTGACATTTAGATTAAAAATCTATTAAAGATCTATGGTATAAACGAATGAAATGAACATTGATGATATGGATTAACCTGAGTTGCAACATAAGCATTGTGCTTCCTATATCCATCACAATAATTAGCATTGATGTAGTCTGACCCAGGTATCCCTTCTATGGGCTGTAGCACCACTCGAGAATGGTCGTAAGCTATAACATTAGCGTAACGGTTCTTGGGTTTGTTCACTTCCATGTTACTGTGGTCCCATGTAAACTGTTGGCCAGGCTCAATACTCTGAAAAAAATTTAATGAAAATGTGAAATAAGTACGTTTACTTAATAATTACAGAATCGGTAATTTTATAAGAAACTGTTTTCCAAAAAGATTTTAATAATAAAAAAAATATATAGCATAAGAACAAAGATAATTAAAATCTTTCACATTTTTCAATAGCAAATTTTTTTAAAAATTACAATAGTAATTCTGTAGAGTACCAAATTACTAAAAAAAGGAACATTTTTATTTTTATAAAGTAAATAGATTTCTCTGCTATTTGACTAAGTATTTCATTTTTTTTTTAACTGATTGTTTCAGAAAATTAACATAATTAAATCATTTTTTAAAGTACACAATTAAATTAATTAAATACCTCATATTCCTGGCTGAACTTGAGATTGTCATTGGACTTAAGTCGATCGATATGATTAGAAAGCTCGCTGATTGGTATTGGAGGGTGAGATATCATACCAGGAGTCTGGAAGTTGATCCTTCGCATTTCCACAGGATCCGAGGGATGTGGAGGAGGTACCAACTCACTACCAGACATTAGTGGTCTTGTAACAGCAGTCTGGTCGGGGGATTTGCACGGCTGCCTTCTTCTAAGAATAGGTTGAAATAAAGTATCGGTTAGATTAAATAGTATCAACAGAAATAAAGACATTTTCTAATGTTTAAGAACAAAAAAAATTATATGACTATTAAAAAATGTCTATTATTACAGCAGAAAGCCAAAGATTCAATTGCCAAGCCTGGCTCAGATTGAGCAACAATAGAATACAAAAAAAAACTCTATACATATAGATTGCTTCATTATATAATTAATAGACTCAATTAAATGAGTTTAGAAATTTTTTATTTTAATTTTTTTTAATTCTCAGTGTATTTTCAACAATTAATAAGTGAAATTGTAGCAGAAATAGGAATTAATCCAGTATAGAATAACATTCCTCTTAATGCAGAATAATTTATTATTACCTCGGTGGACAGACATTTTTGAAAGGTATCCACCCAAAAAACTGAAATACACATACATTTTGAAATTTAGAATATTTTAAAAATTATTTTTTTTGATCAGGCATTCTTAAGCACAGGTGGTGATTGTTAACATCAATCATATCATACTTTAACAATGTATGATTGTAATAGGAAACAACAAATAAATAATTAAGTAAAATCAACCAACTCAAAAGTTTAATGATATTTTTTTATGACAACAGTAAAACTTGGTACTAAATAATAAACTGAAGAAAAAAGTATTATAAATCCAAGATTATATTTTAAATTCTAAGAATTACAGAGGGATTTAGAATGAAGCAAAATATTACTTGAGGACATTCAAATAAATCCATGATTAATGAACATTAATTTATAAATAGCAGCAAAAACATTCTTATAAATTCATTACTTACAAAATGAATTGTTAGAAAATGTCATCAGTACAAATTTAAAAATTGCTGGTGATTTTTCATAGCTAACAAAGTTAAACATATAATAGTTCTGCTAATACAAAAGAGAATACTTCTAGAGGAAACTGAACTTTTTCAGAAGCTGATATTTATATGACTTGAAAGAGAGAGTGATGTTTATTTAAATGCTGCTCAGTTATGTAAAGAAAAAGGATAAACCAAGCGAATCAAATCAGATTAACAACGGCAAGGCATAAATGTTAAAGGGAAAGATAAAAAATAATCGGCACCTTGAACAGGACTGTAATTTGAATAGCCAATATTACAGCCACTGGCATAAATTATGAAAGGAAATTTCTTTCAAATTAAAGGAAAAAATAGTAGCTAACAATGAGCTAGAGAAAACAAAAATATTTTAATTAAATAAATAATTAAAACTTTTAAAATTAAATATAACTTATTCTCTTCGAAATTTAATTTTGAAGAGAATAAGTAATATCATAAAATTATTTAAATAATCATCATGATTAGTGATTATTCCATCTTAGTTTGATCATTCATAAGCTCCAAGCCTAAAAAAATGACAAAGTGTTCAATATAAATTAACAAAAGCCACTAGATGAATTGTTTGTTTATAGCAAAAAGACATTAGGTAACATAACCTCAAATTATATTACAAAGAAATTTGATGAATATTCACTCCATGAAATCAATCAGAACACTGTGAACTTGTAACAATATTTGATAAATAAAAGGCTTTGCTTCATTCTGATGCACTTTCTGTGTTTTTGCATTGATAAATAAGGTCGAAATGTACAAAAATGTACTTAAATGCTTAGCTACAACAAAACATGTATTTTGTGACTTATTGCAATAAATTGATGAAATTACTGCTTTGGATTAGTTTCGAAGAAGCTGTGTCTAAAATTGGCAATGGATACAAGACAGTATACAACTTTTGGGAATTCATATTCTTTTGGATTATAAACTTCAAAGATTTCTCAAAGTAATTGATTAATAGCCAAGTTTTTGATTTTGATTAATAAATAAATATTGAATGAATCTTTCCTGATCAATATTTATTATAATCGTATGTGGTCAAATTTATATAGATATCTTTAGAAAGAAATATTTTGAATAATTTTTAAAACTTCCAATAAGACTTTTACAGAAGGAGAATTAAAGAAATAGCAAAACAGATAAAAAGGAATAAAAAGTATAATTAATTTTAATGATAGATTTTTTTAAAATTTTTGTGTTTCATAAAACTCGACAAAACCACTTTTAATTAATCTGAACAAAAAATATTCCAAATAAAGAAAAATAGACATATTTACTCACTCTCTTTCTTTACACTTCCTACAACCGACTATACCTTCTTAAAAAAAATGGTTCCAGAGATGAACACACTTACAACAAATTAAGGCAACAACAAAAGTTATGCAGTGATCATAAAGACTTCTTGTAGGTTTTCACACTATTATAAGTGACAATGCCTGACATCATATAAGTAAATTATGAAGAAAATAGGTTTCAGTATAGAAAATGAAAAAAATCTCCAAAAAAGTCACATCCTAGCTTACTTTACAAATCATGCTTGAAAACAACAAAAGCCTCAAAGCATATAAGCAATAACACATAAAAGCTGAGGGAACCATGACTCAGTGATGACTTAATTAGTAGATAGATAAATTGAGAAGATCAATTAACCACCAGAGTACTCACTCTCCAACCACATGAATGATTACTTTTTAATGGTAATGGTTTAATGGTAATTAATACATTATGGTAATGATTAATTATAAAGACTAATAATAATGAGATATAGAAATCAAAACATCATAAAAAATAAGTCTATAATGAAAAAAAAAAATTGCAAACATTATTTATCTTATTTACTTTGCTTAGGTAACTATCATAGCTTGAGGAAGCAGTAATTTCTTAAAAATCGGTTGCTACCAAGAAAATTCATCATGGATTCCAGAAATTGTACAAAAGTTGAGAAATGTTCAGTTACATTACAGAAATTTGTATTTTTATAGAAATTTCATTAAAAAAAAAATAATTTTAGTAAAAACTCTTTAAAAAAAAATCACTTCTCACAATTGATTCAGATATGAAAGTGGAGTTGGTGATATTGAACTACAATTTTCGTAACAATTTTTTCTATAATTTCATGATGTTTTCACAATCCAACAATCTTATATGGTTAGTAAAAGTTAAAATAATGTCAATATTTTTTTCCTTCATTATTTATAAACCTTAATACTCTTCCAAACCTTCAATGAATTTTTGAAGACAATCTCTAAATATATTTTTAAAAATATTCTCACACAACATGAGTAGTGAATATATATGGAAAGTGTGTTTTGCAAAAATTTTGGGTATGTGCTACAACTAAAAGGTGGTGTAAGAAGAAAATGCAAATTATACTTTCACAATAGCCTTCTTAAGGATAATGGATGCTAAAATCACATAACAAAGCAGAAGATAAAAAACGAAAAGTAACACCACCGATTTACCCTCCTAACTGAGATTTTTCCTAACAATTTAAAAGAACAGTCAAATAGTGATATAAACATATTTGGATATTCTCAAATAACATCATTGGCCTCAACCAGGAGGCCATGCAGTAATACTATCAATATTTTAGCATGACAACAGTATTATAGACCATGTAAGGAGCCTTTGAAGACACACAGACCCTTTATTAATGAAATCATAACAAATACCAATTAATTTTTCTGAGAAATGACAATGGTTCCCAAGCATGGAAATGAAAACGGTATCAATAATGAATCTTATCGAAAACACTTTAAACTGACTTCATATCCTGGAAGAAGTATTTGGAGTATAGTCATCCTCCACATATTAATTATGGCTATAATTTATTTATAATAAATTAGGAGAATTAAGGAATAAACTTTAAAAAATAATTGTTAAATGTCACTTACTTCTTAATAATAAACAGGAGGACTAAACATATGGACAGCATGAGAGCAGCAATAATAGGCCCAATCACCCAGACCATACCAGCCTCTTCTTTACTTTTATTCACCGACACATCAGATATCTCAGGAGGGACATTGGGGTTAGGCCTGCGTGGGGGATCACCAGGAGGTACTTCTCTCATATCCAATGCCAGTTGTTCCGAAAATGGACTAGATGTATATAAATGCTGTAAGAGAACATAATATATTATACCTGTTAACGCCACAGTGTTAATTTATTTTATTTTTACAGTTAGAAACGCCACAGCGTTAATTCAATTTATTTTACATTTAACTAATTTGATTAATTGTTGATTTGTTTTGTTTTAGCAAAGTGAAATCAATTAATAATATGTATATTTATGTATAAGATATGTGTATATCAAGTATTATAGGCCCATAGCTTATATTGTTTATACTAAATAAATCAATAGTTTATACTTTTACTACTTTGTTATGGATTATAGTAGCACTAGCTATAAACAAGTGCTAGATTCAAGTCATAAGGCGGTAGAATTGACAAGAGACAGTCTGACTCTGTCCGGTCACTGAGCTGGGTACTGCCAACTTCAACACTGCCCACTGCAGTTCTACTCTGAAGAGACGTACTTCTCTCGTCGTGCTCGCCGCTGCCCATTTACAGTTCGTTTTGAGCACGCTCATTGAAGAGTTACAATTGGTTTCTGCATAGAGACAGAGGTTTACGAACGTCCTGCTTCGTCCACGTAATGTTGTACAATCTAATTATTTGTTTTATATATATATATATATATATATATATATATATATATATAAATTTCATATTGGGACTTTAGAGAAGTGTTTTTTTTTTTATTTTATTTTTATTATCATTTGGGCCATAGAAATAGTTTTTATTTATGATCAAGCATGAAAATGTTTCATTAATATTGTCACAATTGTTTGTTCAGCTGGTCTTTATTTTATGCTAGAAGTTTGTTATTTTTTTTACCTATCTAACAAGTGTAAAATTGATTCATTTTGTTTTTATGTTTTTAATATTAGATTTCGTAAATGTTCCAAAATAAATTTTTGAAGATACAGTCCACTTTATTTCTTTTTCTTTTATTAAATCACAATTAAATAGTTAGGCTTCATTCGAAGTTTGACATAAACTAAGAGGGAGCTAACAATACCTTTAACTATTTAGACAAATATAAAATAAAAAATGAAGTAATCATACCTTCTGAGGAGTATCTACAACAGCTCTGACAAAAATCCTGTACTTCACTCCTCTCTCCAACTTCCTATTTACAAATCCATCGTAGGTATCACCACTCCCAAGATGGAAAGTGTAAGGAATGTTCCTTTGCAAAAATTTGGCAGCTATGTAAGGAACTCTTTCCCTTTCTGATTTACCTCCAGAATTAGCAATGAGCTGTAAAATGATTTTGATTGCTTGAGAATTCACTAAGTTATAAGTAATAATAATAAAAGGAGCAGTAGGGGCTAGAGTACAAGCGGTCTATAATGTATTTGCAAAATATGTATTGCAACCCACAAAAAAAAAATCTGGGCAACTTGATAAACAGTATAAAGTTTAGGTGGCGGGAGATTTTAACTCTGGTATTAATTTCCTACATTCAATCCTGGCCCGAGAAAAACTGTATAGCCAAAAAGGCGACTTAGGGGAAAAAAAAGTAATAATAATACTCCATATGATATATTACAGAAGTGGTTATTGTTATAAAATGTAATAACTTCATAATATGAATATAGCATGTTGGAATGAATGGAGCAGATTGGATACGATGTGAATGTTTACATCTGAATTATTTAAACTCAAATTTTAATTTAAACACCGAAATTTAACACTTCACAAATTAACTATTAGCTTTTAGCTTTTTGTGGGTTTTAACATTCTGTAGTTAAAAACAAAATAAGAAGATGGAGTCCTCAAGCTTTGTTTTTCAACTCAACAGGTGAACAGGAATTCAGAATTGAATTTAGAAAAAAAAAAAAACATTTAAGAAAAGGAAGATTATAGATGTATCAATATTTATCCCAAATAATTGGTGAAACAATTTTAGAGTTTAAGTTTACTTAATAATAATAACAGTTTAGTCTGACGAGTAGGTAACATCTATTAGTCAACAATTTTAAGGTTCTACAGAACCATTTCATTTAGTGGAACAGAAAGAACAAACATATTATAAAAGTATAGATACTTATATTGCCCCTGTATTAAAATATTAAGAGATGATAAAAACTTACATCTTCAGTTAAAAACTGGTCTGGGTTCTTATTCATAGTATTCTTGTCTTCTGGAACTACAACTAAAAAGTAATGAGAAATCGGACCATATTCTTCAGAAGCTTGTGGTAGAATAACCTATTAAAAAAAAAAATCTAAATTAAAGAACTTGAATTTATAGAGCTGATAAGACTGTTTAAAATTAAATAATACAAATAAGTTGGAACTAAAAAAAAAAAAAAAAAAAATTACTTTAATTTAATTTGGAAAATTATGATGTGAAAGGTACCTGAATTTCTTCGCCATTGACGACACCATAAAAGTCTGGTTTGACCATAGGCTGAGGAGCAGCCATTTGTGTAGTGACAGTAATCCTAGCCGGGGGTCTGTAGCGGTGATCGCCAGGTATTGCAGAAACGTTTACATTGTAAGTGGTAAATGGAGACAACTCATGAATAGTGTGTGTCCTAGCATTAGGCTCTAGAACTGCACTTCTCTTCGTAACTACCTGGACTTGTGTAATACCCTGTGAGTCCACAAATTCTTTAACTGCGTCAAATGAAATCTGAAAAATGTTGGGCCATTTTACATAATGCTTTTTATATTATCAATAAACTTTACAGACTATTTATTCTATTTTTTTCTTCAAATTAGTATATTTTATAAATTTCATAAAAATTTCATTTTTGTATTTGAAGGGGGTCAATTCATATAATATTTTCCATTAACAATTTACTAAATATCATCAAATTCAGTTCAGAATGATTTTTGTAATATTTTTTTGCTTCATCACTACCAAAGGAAAGGAAGCTTTGCATTTGAGCAAGATGTTAAAAAATAATTACGCTCAGAATCAAAAACTCCACACGCGTTTTACATTTTAGACACTGAGGAACAAATTTGGTTTCATGATTGTTTGGTTTGAGCTTATGAAGAGTTCTTCATCAACTACCATTTATACGATTTTCATGAAATTTTCAGAAATTGTACGGGTTAGTACCTAGGTGATTTCTAATCAATTTCATCGAGTTCTTTCGCATAAAAATATTTTCTTAAGTAAACAGGGTATTTCAGGATTAAAAAAAAAAAAAAATGCCTAGATGGTTCAATATCCATTTCATTAAATCTATCTACTTCTTTTTTCCTATTTTTCTGTGGCAAAAGTATACTTAAAAAACGACTTCATCTGTAGATTTTATTTCCAAACAATAAACCATACATCTTGAAACATAGGTAATTATATAACCAATAGGAGTGGTGAGAAAGCTATACTGATCCTATTTGGGAAACTTTTTTTGTAGGTGACTAATTTCAACAGCTAATTTAGGCGACAAGACACTCAAATGCAGAAATACATATCAATTTAAATTTTTTTCAAATAAAAAGAAAAATATATACATGCTTGAATTGATCCCTCTTACTTAGATATATTAAGTTATTCTAATATATTACTCAACCTTAAAGCTTCATCAAAACAATTATATATCTACAATTACACATAAAATAATAAATTAACTACCTTGTAGTTGATGGGATTGAGACGAATAGGTGGGGACCAAGAAAGTGTCATACTATGAGTGCTCACATCATGAGCCCGTAATTGGAGGGGGACATCCTCAGGCTTGACTTTAACCGTCACTTTCTCTGAAAGTCTTCCGAGACCAGTTTTCGTAACTGCAGCAACAGCAATTGCATACTGGGCATATTTTTCTAAGTTAACCAGATCAGCAGATTCTGTGACAGGTACAGTCTTATTTTGCCATTCATCTAAGTCTTCAACAGCAGTCATTGTGTAAAAGATTATATAATTAATAATAGAAGCTCTAGAAGGCACTGACTCCCACCAAACCTGAAAAAAAAAATTGCATTGATTAAAAAGATAAAACTGATTAATATTTTAATTTAATTAATGTTTGGTGGTCATTAATGTTCATGATGAGTAATTATATGAAAAATTTAAAAAACTGTTAAAATTTAGATATCTAATGCAAGATAGTTTAAGTAAGAAGAATATTTCTCAGGGCGGGGTTAAATAACTTGATAAATAAAGTTTATATGATAAATTAATTACAAGTTCGTCCCCGGCTTTTAACTACGGCATTAATTCCCTATCCTCTCTCTTGGCCCAGAAAAAATCCTATATAACGTAAAAGGCAAGGAAAAAAAAGAAAATAATATTTCTTAGAAGTTATACAAAGTTATGTCACCTATCTCTATAATTTGTTCAACTATCTCAATCACTTCATGAAACAAAGATCACATATGAAACTGGCAATCAACAGTTTTTAGTAGTTCAACATTGTATTTTAAATGCAAGTAGATTTTTACAAAATTAATCAATTACAAGTTCAACTGAAAGTTATGAGAAATTAAATTATATCAAATTTCAACAAGGTATCACCTCTACACTCTGATCAGATGTAGCTACTGCCCTGAGACCCATCGGAGCTCTGACGATGTCCCTTTCAGTTGTGATCGTCACACTGTGCGACCATGGTCCTGCTCCAGACTTTGTATGTGCACGCACTCGAAAAATATAATCTGAGGCTTCTTCAAGATTTGAAAAAACAGCCTAGGAAGAATATTAGGACATTAATATACTAATATATATATATATATAAACTAAATCAATTTTCTAATAATGAATGTCAATTACCTTAGTTTTAGTAGTGTTCCTTTCAACTGTTGTAGTCTGATCATTCTTTTTACCAAACTGGACATCATAACGAACTATCTGTCCGTTTCTCTGTTCTCTTGTAGGTGGATCCCAAGTAATGCAAACTACATCAGGTGTTTGAAATTTAAATGTCACATTCGTTGGAAACCCTGTCGGAGGTCCCTCAGGGGTCATAAGATATTTAATTGCTTCTTGGCCAAAACCTATGTGATTCTGTCCAGCCACTCTAAACTCATACTCCACACCTCGCTCTAAAATAGTTTAGTAAATTAGATTAGCAATGCTGATGAAAGAAAACAGATTCAAAGTGTAGCATAAAACTGTTTCTGAAATAGTTGATATGTTGACAAACATGAATGGCTTTTTAAAAAATGTGAAAATTAGTTTCCAAAGATATATAATGATATATATATATATATATATATATATATATATATATATATATATATATATATATATGTGTGTGTGTGAGTATGTATGAAAAAAAAATATTACCTAGAAGTTCAATTCTTCAATAATTTTAGAAAAAATATATATTTTAATAGAAATAAAAATTAGCCACGATTTATTTAATCTAAAATAAAACATTTGTAAATGAATATGTAAAAAAATCTAACTTATACTGGGTTGCAAGATGTCGGATGGTGGAATGACCAACGGCTTCGACATAGGAAAAAAAAATCAAATAAAATTTTGTGATAAAATTGAATAAATATAAAAATGTTTAAGTTAAAAATTACAAATTTGCTAGATGGGCAGCCGCAAATTGCATAAAATATAAATAAATAAAATAAAATAAAAAATTAATCTTTTACAAAAAGTATAAATAAAGGATTTAAATAAAACAATATATAAAATTAAAGGAAACAATAGGCTTAAATGTGTTTATATTTTTTTAATGACATCAATCATTATAACCCAAAAAGGAACAGCTTTTGCATAGTGCCAATAAATGAAGTATTAGAGTCATTATTATCAATAACAACTTAAAGTTTATAAATCAAAACTTTTTAAATTTTAAAACAAACTAAATTTTATGTTAATATATACATGTAAATCACATAATCTGTGGTTAACAAAATAATGAGGACAATATATATATGTATATACCCACCTAGATTATTGATCTTATGTGAAGTTACTTGGAGTAGGAATTCCTTCAGATGAGTGTCTTTTACACCATATCTAAGGCGATATCCAAGGAGATCGCCATACGTCTGTGTTGGTCTCGACCATTCTAGTTCAGCGGATACTTCTGGATCTTGATTCACAACCCTGAAGCCATCAAAATAATTTAAAGCATTGAAACGAGGAGCTATGTATTGAAAAAAAAAATGGCCCAAAATCACATGCCACCATGAAGGTAGTTGGTATATTAGATTTAAGGTGGTATATGGAATCCTTTATGAGAAATATTTCATGGCCTTAATTTAAGTTTTCTTAAATTTTGTGACTGATTAAATTTAAATGACTTAGTAATCATCTTTTAGATCTAAACCCCTCCATATACTTAAACTATTTATAAACCTAAAAGTTTCATTAAGTAGAGGAAAGAATAAGGCCCATGTAAGGATTCTTAAAAGTAACTAGATATTTGGAATAGATATAATATAATTAATTATAATATTATAAAATAATATTACTTTAATAGAAAAGTCATTATGACAAAGAGTTTGAACCTGACATTCTCTATGTTCTGTATTTAACAGAACTAATGGAATAAAAGATGATTCAAGATCAGACTTAATAATAACTTTAGAAATATTTCTGTAGAATGAAATTAAGTCATGAAAGGAAATAGCAGACATTAGCAGACATCCTTGGTATAGAACCAGAGATTCAAAAAGGAAAAATATTACATTGAGATCCAGCCAGGTATTCAAGTAATGTTAATGATACATGGGAAAGAAGGGATAACAAAAACAAATATACTAGAAAGATGTTAGGGCATTTTGTAGGAAAAACTTGATTGGATTATTAATTATAAAGTTGGGATCAAGAGATTATTTTGTAGTAATTAATACTTATGAGTAACATTTTATTTTTAAAAGTTATTTCCATAATCCAATAGGCTCTATTCCAAAAACTTACTTAATTGTGACTGTTGGACGATTAGGAACACCACCAGGTGTGCGAATAGAAACTGGCTCGCTCCTGTCACCATCACCCTTCCTGGTAAGGGCAGCAACTTGAACATTGTACTTAGTGTCTGGCTGAAGGCCTGATATGTTCAACTGCAATGCAGCACCATCCAAAACATCAAATCTCATTGGTTCATTCAGGTTCACTACACTCTTCCCCTTAAAACAGACAAAAAAAAATTAATAACAGTAATGGAATGTCGAAAAGTCAATAAACTATTGGAGTTTCACCATGTTTCTGTAGCAGATTCAGGATTTGATTATTTTTTTAGGAGAGGGCTTTTTTATTTATTTATTTATTTTTTTTTAATAACAGCAATTACTCTGAAAGAAACTAAATAAAATGATATTTAAGTGTTATTTGAAGGCCTGAGAGGTGAGCTGGCCGAGTGGGCTAACACATGTGCACAGCACTGTGCGTTGCCTGGCAACCTGATAACCGAAGTTTTAGATAAACAAATAATTATGAGTTCAAATCCCAGTGCCCGGTGGAACTTTTAACTCAAGATAATTTCCCTGCTCTATCCTCTGGCCCATGTAGTCTAAAAGGCAAGAAAGAAGAGGGAGACAAAAAAAAGTTCTTTGAAGGCCTGTTTTTATGTATTTATGGGATTTTAAAACTTTTTATTCATGATATTTATAATTGTAGTAAAATAAAAATACATAAAGCAAATGGGAACACGATTTCTTCTGAAATCAGACTGTTTCTTACTGGCACTGTATGTGTACCTCCAAGTCAACCTGCTTTGTATAACCTAAACAAAATGTTATAAATGAAAAGTAAAACATCATTCAAAGCTTTATAACAGGGATATCAAGAGTGTTGTACCAAATCAAGTTTCATAGGATCAACAGTATTGTCGACAAACAGCGGGATAAAGGAAAATGAGTATTATAATCAGAAAAACATTATAAATATGAGCGTTATAATAAAGTTTTGCAGTATAACGTTTGTCTATAATATACTCATATTTTGCTATAATGATAAAATATATAATGTAATTTGTAGTGATTCAGAAGCATTAATAAAAAAACTAAACCACAAAAAAAAAAAAATACTCTTTTACATATGATAAAAAATGCCAATGAAAACTCAATGTATAAAGAAATGTCATATATATAATATTTCTATTACAGTAAAATAAAATAAAAGATTAAAACATATTTTAAAGTATCCAAAACTTGACTAAAAGAACTACTTACATCCTCCTTGGTTTCTTGAACATGAATGTGATAGCCACGTATTACACCATTTCTATTTTTTTCAGCAGGAGGCTTCCAAGAAACAAAAATTGCTGTTGAATTAATAGCAGTGACTTTCACATCTTGAGGATGTCCAGGTACTAAAATTTATATAACAAATGTTTAAACAATTGTTTTAAAGATTTTTCAAAATGATATTTTATTGTTTGCACAAATTTTTATCAATTTATGATTATTAACCCATTTAAGAAAGTAAATATTTTAATTTTTATTTATTCTTTTTTTTTTTGCATGCAAATGGAATCATTTGGCCAAATCAAAGAAATTAATTGTTTTCCATTATACAAGAATGTTTAAAAATAATTTGTTTTTGGTTCTTAACAAGGTAATTTGCACCATTATAAGTATATATAATTATATCAATTAATAAACATGAAAAATACATAAACAATGTGATGTAAATAACCATTTGAATACCAACACAATCCTCCTGTAGTTTTGGCCAAAATACAAAAAACAAAACAAAATAAATCACATGAATCATCAAACCTTGTATCTTGGTGAAACACAAAAATCTACACTACAAAAATAAACCAACAAAAATGAAATTAAATCATGTCAAAAAACAAAAACAGGGTGGAGGCTATCCCTCTTCAGCTACAGGTTACAAAAATGACACGGAATCGAAATTTTGTACTTACGCTTGTCCTCTGCGTTCGTTGTAACCCAAAAATCGACAGAGAGAGGGTCAAAGACAAAAAGAGAGACAAAAAAATCTTAGAAAATGTATGAAAAAATTCCATTCAAAAACAAAAACTTTTAAAATATTTTTTTCTTTTGAAAAATGTGTGCAGAATCATTCTATTTTAATAAAAACATTTTTTCTTTTTCATCTTAAAAAATATCTTTCAAAAACCACAAAATCTCAACAAAAAATCACAAAAATAAAAATATTTAAAAACCACAAATACGTTTCATCCTTAATCGAGTTAGCTGGAAATATAGAAAAGGTTTTATGAAAAATGAAATCAACAAGTCAAAAAAAATTGAGGGCATTAGTAAAATTTGGCATACATACACACACATACACCTATATATTTCCTATCTTGGAAGCAATGTTAAAAAACACGAACGAAAAATATGTTATAAAAATGCAAAAATGTTAGAAATGTTAGTTATATAAAAATGAAAACATTAAATGACACGTATTGGTATTCAAATGAATTTCACTTTCTGCTGAAGAGTTAGAGAAATCTTACAAAAGATGAGTGCAACATTAAATGCAGTTCTAGTATTGTACTCACCGTCAGAATGTTGCTGGCTACCTAAATTTAATATTGCACCCTTGATTAACTGAGTATCTACATTACCAAACATAAAGAGAAAGAAATAAAAATAAAAATTTGGCCATGGTCCCTCTCTCTCAGAGAAAAAGATTGACCATCGACCATTTAGTTCTTTAAAAAATAACAGTGCTGTGTGCAACAAACAAACAGTGCACTTTTATATACGTGTCCCCATTGTGTTACATGCACTACAAAGTGCGCTTGAAAAAAAAGTGAGAGTTTTAAAGTACCAAAAAAAAGTGGTTTTACACATAACAATAAAAAAACAAAACAAAAAAGTGCTCTTTTCAAAATTAATTACAGTGAGAAAACAGTGATAAAATTTTAAAGGAAGGTAAATAGGTAGATTATTAATTTAAAAGGAAAGGAAAAGTGAATTGGAAAATAGTTGGATAAGAGCTTTTGTTTTACGAGTGAGTGACAGCAAAAATCAAGCTCAAAATCAATGAAAAACAAAAAGAGAAAAAAGTTAGAAGTGCGTTCAAAACCTTCCTCGGGCCTTTTTCCGAATGCGTGGAAAAAACATTTGATTAGTAAAGTGTCTTTACATCAAAATTTCAAAATTCAAGACAAAAATACAGCTGGCGGGAGATTAAAAAGTCCCTTAACCAGTAAAAAGAAAAATTAAACAAAATTCAAAATTCATCACACCACGCACACTCAAAAAATCACGCACACAAGAGACTTAGCAATGGGAGAAAAAATTCACCTTTGATCCGATGGTAAAAAGCTGGCAGAAAAAATGGAAAAACACACCAGCCGAAAAATCATAAGTCAGCTCACCCGTCAAAATTAAAAAAAAAATGTCATCACTTTTTTTTTTCTTTTAGTAAAATTTTTATTTAAACCTTGTTGAGGACAATATGATTGTATTTACATAATATTTATGATTTAATAAACAATACAATTAATTCAATCCTCATCATGGTTTCAAAACTATAATTTTTTCTCCATTATAAACTACATTACACTTCAAACTCACGTAATCAAGTGCCACCATATTGCACACAATTTTCTGAAATTACTATCAAAGTAAAGTAGATTACTTTGAAACATGGTAAAGTAGTGAATATTTAATCCAGCAATTATAATGATAATAAAACAAGGCTGAAACTTTTTACAAAATTCATATTATACATTTAATAACTCTTCTGAGGAATAGATACCTCAGCAACATGGCTAAATATTATAAGATCAAAAATTATAAATTATAAAAATGAAATAAAACAAATTTAAAATACAGAATATCAGCCATGTTGCTAAGTTGGTAACATGCTACAACATGTACAGCGGAAAGTATGTCTGTAAAAATGCTGTCTACTTTCAATGTCAATGTGTATATAAAAATTGCAATAGGACTTTAAAAGTTACATTCTAATTAATATATTTAAAAAAATAGAACTTAATTGAAAAATTGTGCCTAAAAATATAAGACTACAATTAATTTCAACTATATAAATTAAATCAAAGTTTTTTTTAGAAATAAATGAAATTACTCGTCTGAAAAAATGAGAGCTTAAAAACTTTTGAACTGCTTAATATAATATGCTGTTCTTTTTAAACCTGAAATTCCAATAATATTCCCATTTTCTCAAAAATCATTGATAAAAAATATATTTAAACTAAATTACAGGAAATTACGTTATTTAACAATTTTTTTTTCTGTTGTTAACATTACCATACATATACATGTCATGAACACTAATTCTGCATTATTTATCAATAATAAAACTGAACCAGTAAACAGAAGTTACAAAATAATATTTATATAAGATTGATAAGTTAGTTGGGGGTTGTAGCCAGTGAGAAAATAAAAATAAAAACAAATTAATTTTGTGCCAATGTTTTGGCCTAAGTTTCAGACCATAACCTCTAGTTCTTTATAAGTTAATTTTGAAGTTATTTTGAATGGCAAGAAATAATGTTAAAAATATAGTAATATAAAAAAAAGTAATAAAGTTTGTATGTGTTACGAGTCATCAATCACAATCAAAATAAATCTTTCCATCCACAATCTCCTTTTGTAACTTGAAAATTAACCAAGTAAAGTGAATATGTTGCAATCATAAGTATTATTCTTGAATAAATTAAAAATTAAAGACCAAATAAATAAACGAGTAATGAATTATATTTTATATGAACTATAATTTATGAATGTTATTCTTTTTTTTTGTGGAAGTACAATCGTTACAACACTTATATTTTGAAATTTTGGAAAAATTTTAAATGATTTTTTCTTTTGTCAAAATCTCATTTTCAAAGTAACTTCTGTAAAATTCCCCCTGTAGTTTTTGTTTTTCTGTATCATATGTACATTTTAAGGTGTTGTTTGTTAAATATTTCTTTTCTATAAGTATTATGGTTGTTTAAAAAATGAGACATAAAATTTGTTCTAAAATTTGCAATTACTATACTTGAGCATAAAAACAAATTGTTGTAATATAATAATGCAATTATTTTTTAACAATTCTGTAAAATACTTTATATATGTTCAGACAGTCTTATTTTTGTACCAAGTATGTAGCATGTTGCCTGTAATATAAAAATAAAAAGTGAGCGTTGTTCGTTGGTTATTTGATGCATACCGTCTTCATTAGTTCTGACGGTGATGGGGTATGAAGGAGGCCCATCTCCAACAGATGTGCCTGCAAGAACCCAGATCCGATACTCGGTCCACTTCTTCAGCTCATCTAGGACGAAAGATGTCGCATTCAGCTTGATGGTTGTTGCCTCTGAATCTGAGCGACCTGCCTCGACGTACTGAAGCCTGTAGTAGACGATCCTTCCGTTGCTCCTCTCAACAGGTGGTGGATCCCAGCTTACTCTTATAGATGTTGGGGAGACTGCTTCCCCAGTCACATTCTGCGGGGGTGCTCCCGGAACTGGGGGTTTACCCACAGTAAGTAAAACATAGTACAACCTTTAGGGTAAAAACCCTTCGGCCGCCCTGTATTCCCTTATAGCTGGATCAACAATTGCTTGTTTACTAGTTTCAGTTAATAATGACTGAGACATTAGTTTCTTTTTTTTTTGTATCATGTTATTAAAATTTTCAATAACTAAGAAACATATGTTTTAAAACATAATATTTCATATTAGTATACAAATATTAATTTAATGAACAAAACATTTATGAATATTAAAGAGTAATTTATCATTTTTTTAACTCATAAAATAAAAACTAGTAAACAAATAACATGCAAATCCAGCTTAAGTCAAATCCCAAATCAAGAAAAAGACAAACCAAATTTTTGATTAAACAACATTTGGATATGAATTATCGGATATCTACTACAAGAGGGAAAAATAAAATAAAACTTGAAATAAAATTTTCAAAGAAAAAAAATTATTTGATGTTTTCTATAAGAGCTATATGGCATTCTATTAAAAAATGTAGGATTATTTTTTAAAGAAAAGCAATAAAAAATAACTGTAGCTTAATACACTAAAAAATGTCTTGTTTTTCAGTAAAATTTAGGCCTACAGACATTGCCGGCCTGGCCTCAGGCAACTTATTAGAAAAAAAAAAAATACAAAACGTACTGAAATAATTAATGTTAGCCTAGCAATAAAGCAACTGTATTAGAGAAATATTGAATGAAATAAAATAAAAATATTATATAATATCAAACAACTTAAGAAAAAAAATTATTTTTTTTAGGGCAGGGAAGATAACCTTATTGCTCATGGGTGCAAAATGTCTAATGCCAGCGCCTACTTTCAGAATTGATTGCCACTATGTACGAAGTTTACTCAGTGAGATTTAGAGCTACAGGCCATAAATAATTTTCCTTGGTTTTTAATTTCTTGACTATAACAATAATGTAAACATTTGAGTTGCTTTTCAATTATACTATTTACAATGAGTTGACATATTATAAGGAGTAATGGGAATTGAAACAGGCTCTCCATGATTGATAGTTGAAAATAAACAATATAACAACAGACCAATCGGCTCAACTGCCGATCCCTTAGTGGTCAACTTGGCAGTGTCCTTTCCACCAACTCACTTGGGTTCAAGGATAGTGACCAATCAGTCTAGATCTATGGATCATAGCTGCTCAGAGACAGCAAGCACATGGGGACCTAACAAAACTGTCCGTGGAACAAATCTCTGGAGACTACTGTCATCCTGGAAAACTACATAGTGATTTCTGATTAAAGTACACAGGGTCATCACTTCTATGCCAAATCAGTGTGAATTAATTAGGAGGTTGTGATGGCCGAGCATGTTAAAGTGTTAATATAAGTAAATAAGTTTACACTTTAAAATTCTCGAGACTAACGACACCAGTTCGAATCCGTCCTGGGAGGATCAAATTTTATTTTGTAGCAGACCCACGGAATGAATTTTGATCTTTCCACTCTGATTACAATAGGTTTGATTGCACCTCTAGAACAGACCTCCGTAAGCCAGCAATGGCGAAGTAGGGGTATTGATAAAAAAAGTTCCCTCAAGTAGGCTGATGGGTCTTATCAACTCAGAGGGAGGATCTTGGGCAGTGTGGCTTTCAGCAGTAGATGGTACCCATCTAAGAAATTACCACACCCAACATAGCAAGTACCTTAGCCTGCTTGGCCCTTTTTTTCTTTAATTCATTAATACATTTTTCTTTAATAAACACTTTAATTCAGAAACAGTGAATTTCTTTTACTTGAATTAATTATTAAGCCTATGTAACGGCTTACTTTGAAGCTACAGTTATATGGAAGATTTACAAAAATAATAAAACTGATGAATATAATTTTGTATTGCAAAATTAATTTTTTACCAAACATGTTAATGATTGACATAGTATTTTAAACAATTGCTAACAAGAAAACATCAAAAATATAAAAATTAAAAAAAAAAATGTATATCATGCTATTGAAGTAAACAAATAAATAAAATAAAATAAATAAATAAATTAAAAATAAATTAAGAAATAAAATAAAAATAGAGAAGGGGAACTACAATAGCTTATCCCAGATCCTAGGGATAATAAAGGTGTTGCACCAGACTTGACTACTTCAAAGAAGTAATAATTAAAGATGGAGACCAGCAGAAAGCCTAAATGGAACAAAATAGTCAAGAGTTCCACAATGTGCAAAAGTTCCACACTTCCTTCACACACAGTGAGATTTCTTAATCTAAACAAGGAAAAAATAATAAAATATACGCGGAACGCACATATCTTTCTCTTCTGTTTTGATTGAATTCCTAGAATTATTCAATATTTTTTTCTATTAATAAATGATGTTATTTCAAACTGAAATCTTGTTATCAATGCAATTCCACAATCAAAAACTTTTAATAAAAAATAAAACAAAACTGAACACAACAAATAAAAATAAGTTACTGTCAAAATTTTAGGATTTTTTAAATTTTCAATTTCTTTTAAGATTATTGTAATGAAAGGAATGTGCAGATAAAATAGTCAAAAATTTAAAACGGTGCTCTCTAAAATCAAAACCACACAACCTTTATTTACAAAACCATATACGTCATGTCTCAACATTAACTGCTTCAATATACTCACCTTCAATAATGATAACTGAAATCAATACTAAAAAATTATTAAATTAATACTAAAATAAATGTATGCAATATATTGATTAAAATCTGTGATAAATCCTTTTGGAAATATGATATAATAGAATATGAAGTATTAAACAATAAGAGAAGGATATTTATATCACAGGAATGCAATATTTTTTCAAGATTTAATTAAAAATGGTTTTTAGATAACAATTTCAAAGATTGGTGGTAACAGTATTATTAAATACAGCAAAGTTCCTCCACACTGAACTTCACAAAAATAAACTTACTTTTGAGAATTCGTAAGTCCATTAAAATATGCCCCCTCCAAATTTAAAACCCTATACAAATGTGCCTCTCTCAAAAATGTTAATGGCACATTTTGGGGCACTAAGGAAAACATTAGAGGAATTTTAAGATGAACGATGAAAAACTTGGAAGGAATTAGGAAGTTAAAAAAATTAATTGAAAAATATGCATTAAATTTAACAAAAACCCACTATATCTCACAGATCTATTGGACCTAACAGAAAGTTATAATTTACGATAAAATAACATATTTAAGAAAAATGTAGGTTTGTACTTTCATTTCTCAGTCCTTTTCAAGCTAAGAAATTTCAACAGAAATAAATGTATTTAACAACCATACTTCTTACACCAACCATAAAATGTTAACTAAAAACATTTTACTATATCTCTTTTGAAAAAAGGTTTACTTAAGTCATCTTTTATTCTAAAATTACTTTAAATTTATAAACTTAATTTGCATTTAAAGTAACAGAACAATAGCTCTTTAATGTTGATCCATGACATTACTATCTAGCTACGCATGCAGTGCTCTGTCCCCCTCTCATTTGACCCACCATATTGTTTTGTGCGAACATGAATCGGAGGTGTCGTTGCTCCTTCTCCTCGCTGTGACCGAGCTGCGAGCCATATATAATAAAGAGTGTTTGGGTAAAGATTCGTCAGGGTATAGGTTTCTGCTATAGGGATCCTCCGGTGGTTACGCTCCTATATAAGAAACCAGTGAGAATGAAACATCACATAATAAATATTACAAAATATAATAAAAATATTTGGCTTTCAAAACCACAAACATCATAAAAACATTAAAAAAGTAGGATATTGCAAACTAAGAACTTTTTCAATATAATTTGTACTACAATAACTTTCATAAAAAGCCTGATACTAACAGATCAATCCAAGATTAAAATTTGATTAATTTTTATTTGTTTAAATAGTTAATATTTTTCAATACAAAAAATTATTTGTTTTTAAATCATGACCATCATGGTGGAAGGTATGATATAATTTTTAATGGACCTCTATTTTCAATGTCGTTTTTTTTCAGCAAAAAGAACATTATTATTATTATTAATGCTTAAAAGAAATAATAACTTTGCACTTGTTAAGAAAAAAAAAAATATTATAATTTTCAACATGAAGTTCTTATAAGATTTAAATAATATAATGAGCTGTTTATATAATTAAAAAGATTTTCTTTAACTATTAAATATATAAAACACACAAATTTAAACTAAAAATGTGTAAAATAAAAATGAATTTGATCGAAAACATTGTAAAGAAAATAAAGTCAGTCATTTGATTCAGCTATGACTTTATTGATGAAACATTGACTGGTTTAAAAAAACTTTAACTAAAGAGACCTAAAGGTATTATTAAAACCATACTTAAACAACTAATCACAACATTGGGTCTCTATTCAGAAGCAACTCACTTACCTTTGCATAAGTATCATTCCAATAGAGCTCATAGCTTACTATATTTTCACCGGAGTGTGTAGGCTTGACCCATGCAAGTGTAACGGATGTTTCACCGATATCAGTTGCATGGAAATTTCCCGGCTGGCTTGGCACTGAAATCATCAATCCAATCAGAGCTTTGCACATGAGGTGAAAGAGCTAAACTTAGCTTATTGTGAAAGAGAAAATTCAACAATTCAGTTTCAAAAATCTTGATTAAAATAATTTGTTAAAAGTTCTTTAAAAATATTTTCAATTAGCAAGTATAAATTGTTTAAATATTAAGAAAAAAAAGTTTACCTCCTTGCTGAGTCTTGACAAGAACAGGGGCAGACAGCGGTCCTGGCCCAACACTAGTGAAAGCCTGAACTCTGATTGTGTAAATTGTGTGAGGAGTTAGTTCACTGATGGTCGTCAACTGATTGTTATCGACCATTCTTGAATTCCAAGAGTTCATAGGAAGTTGAGAATTCATTGTATAATACACTTTATATCCCTATCAACAAGAGTGTTCAACATTAATTTCTTGACAAAGTTAAAAGATAAAAATTATAACCAATAAATAATAAAAAAAGAAACACTCTGAATAACAAGTGGTTTTCAAGAAACTACCTAAATAAGTCAGTCAGCTTGATATTCAACAATGATTTCAAATAAAACTAATGAATATTCTTGACACATAATAAGGTGAAATAGATGCTTAATAAAATGCATACAGAGTTTTATTAAGATTTTAAACCAAAGATCAGAGCAGATAAAATATATATTACAGGACAACGGAAATTTATAACCTTCCTAGACAAGGCTTTATTACAACAAAAATGAAAAAATACAATCTGATCACATATTCCTCTGGTAATTTTTTCACCACAATTTACAAAATGCCGGCAGCTCTTTATCTCTGTTTGGCAAAAATTAGAATTAAAAGAAGAAGAATAAATTATTTTCTGCTATCATTATTTAGACAGCACATATGGTGATAGTTAATAAATGTAGTTAACAGGTGCGGATTGAAAAATAAAAGTGAAAACAATAAAAATTATTTACTGTAACATACAAATGCGGACGAAGAGGTGTTGAATATAGAAATTACATATATCCCTAAGCTTTTAATATCATATGATTTATTAATCTAATTAAACAACCATAGATGTATGAAATATTAGTGTAATGGAAATGAGGACAAAGAATAATATACAAAAAGATAAGGGTTACCTTTTTTTTTGCCTCTGTTCATTTATAAATTTTATATAACTTTAATTAAATCTACGAGACTACAACATTGCACAGAATAGAACAAAGACACATTTAGGAAATCATATAAGATAATAGCTTAAGTACAATATCTTTGTAAAAAAAATGAAAAATATGAGCTGTAGTACGTTGTAATAAAATAAATGTATCATATTAATTTAAATAGTTTATGAAAAATAAAAATTAATAAAGTAACTTTGGCAGATAATACAAGTAGAAAAAAAAAGCAGTAGTTACCTTTCAAAAAATCGGATGATATTTTGCAAAACATAAAATTTAGAGTAAGGATAAGAATTTGTTATCAGTTTTGATATTTTTTAGTAGATTTATCTTTTATTCATCTGAGAGCTAAATAATTAAATGACCCATTTTTCTTTTTAAATAATTAAACAGAAAGTATTACTAAGCAACATTTTAAAATAAGAATATCAAGCAGGGTTAGGTATATAATTACGCTTACAGTAATTTGGCCATTTGGTGTTTCAGGCTCATCCCACTGGATTACCATCGTGCTAGAACTTAGAGGTCTCACTTGTACGTTTCTTGGTGCAGTTCCAGGTTCTAAACAGAATAGATTACAAATTAAAATTAAAATTAAATATCTAGAGATAATACAATCTCCAAAGTTAAAATACTACCACCTGAGTTACTTAATCAATACAAAGATCAGCAAGACAGATATAGTGAATTTAAAAGAGAAGCAGTGTAATAAGAATACAAAATAACACTAATAATTGAAATTCAAAAACTATTTAAAAAGTGCAGTCTACAAAACTTACAATAAATTCAACAAACCAAATACTTACAACGTAGTAACTAAAAAAATCTTAAGATATAAAAGAATATAATAATAGAGTTTTTTTCTTCCATGCTTGCTTAATTTAGCTTTCAATATGAATTATAATATAAATCCTCTCAAAAATATTACAAAAATTATGGTGATACATATATATTAAAAATTACCATGAGTTTTGTTTTTTCACTTGACATAAAGCCTGTTTGCGAATTTATGTGATTTTAAATATGTTAATATGAATGTGATATAGTACTAAGGCTGTATAAAACAAAATTGAAATATGTTATGATGAATGTTATGCCAAAAATATAAAATGTGTGTTTTCAGGTTAATTGAAGAAAAATTTATTTCTGACATCTTTCTTTTAATGCAATTTTGAATCTTAATTCTTCAGTTTTTATCATTTATTCTCCAAATATAACACTTCTTTACAATAAAAATTGTAACTTGTTATGTGACCATAATGATATATCAATATTATAGTAATCCGAGTAGCTACATGTTTTGAAAAAGTTTATAAAAGAAAAAAAATTAATACAATAATTGGCATTGATGGTATTTGAAAAATTTATTTTTGATTTTTGGATATAGAAATAGAACTTACAAATAGCTAGTACATATATATAAAATGGCTAGTAAATATATTAAGTACTTTATATTAAAAAAAATAATTATAAGAAAAATAATCCTGAAGACAAATAATTTTTCATAATTAAAAGTCCAAGTTAAATGAAAAATATGAATCAGCTGTACTAGTACAACTAACACCATATAATTTATGAATTAGCAGATAAGTAGTCAAGGTTAGCAGCTAGATGAAATAGCAGTTAGTTACAGCTACTTTTCAAAGTTAGCTATAATTTTAATCACCTTGATATTAGAATAAAACTTATGAAAAAAGAGAACCTGCTATTTTTCAACCTAAATAGCAACTAAGAACAAATAAAAATAATAATTATCTAATATATAACAAATATATTACTGATTAGAAACTCATGTCTCATCCATAATAATAAAATTATATTTAAACGTAGGTGATAAATAGTCAGGATGCAATCATTTTTAAAGTTTTTTTATTGGTGCCGATGTTTCAACCCAAGCATGTGGGTCATCATCAAGGCATGTTTGTAGCAATGAGATGCTAGTATTTGAACACCTTCAGTGCTTGAAACAGACCCTGATGATGATCCACATACTTGGGTTGAAATGTCCGGCTCCAATAAAAACTTAAAAATGACTGTGTCCTTAATATTTATCATCCATGATATGTAGAATAGCTGACTAACTTTCTTCAATAATTAATAATATTTAAAGGTTAAATTGCTGTGTTAATAAAAAAAAAAATAGATAATGACTGGATAGGGGATGTTTCAATATAATTAAAAAGGATCTAGAGGGAAGTTTAATGAAATTGTAAGGCTGCTCCACTGTGTTATTTTGCTAAATGACACAGCATATTGATCAGTCTTATGGAGTATCTGACCACTAATGTATGATAAGGATAGCTTGTGGAGCTTGAGAAAATACATCAAATGCGTGTAGTAAAGGATTTATGTTAGTAAAATCAAGACATGGAACTTTGACGGAAAATTAAAAGTTTAAATAATGAAAAGTACATTTATAAAATATGGGGTAGTGTGCGTAGAGGTTAAAACTTGGAGATAAATGGAAAAGATAAAACGCGCGTGTCGCCAGATGATCGCGATGCTATCTCGGGCCAGTTCGACCGTCAATTAGCCCACTGTTTATTATGGCACGAGTTTTAAACACATACGCCTTTATTTAGATAATCTATTTTATTGTAGTCCCCATGTCAGCTTTTATGGCCTATTTACGTCACCCTGGCCGGCCATAAAGTCAATAACAAAATATAACCCGTTAATGACCAGCCTCGTTGTTCAGCAAACCTTACAGGAGGATCCACTAAGTATACGGATAAAGAGAATAGATTCATTGCGTTGAACAGAAGAGTCAATAAAATAATTATTATATTATAAACAGTAATAATAATGAGGATAATAAGGTCTAATAAGACCTAAGGTTCGATAGAAATCCAAACAAATAACGTCAAATTCCAAATCTGCAAGACATGGCCACAAATAATCCATCCAAGTTTCGGTCACGCCACTTTTTCACTAGCGCTTTGGAAAGATGTTCTTAAGCCACTTCTCTGCTTTTCCAGTTCTTCCCAAGTACCATAAAATGTTCCAAACTCAAGCTCATTTATTATCCCTTTTAAATCTCACATTCAACTGAATACTATGTTTTTTATAAAGACACATACTGTTTGTCTTTTTTAAATGTTTGATAAACGTCTGTTTCAGTTTGATACGCTGTTATAACTACCGTCAATAAAACATAAGCATTGTATACTGTTAAACGAATTTTAAGTACATTTCAAACAACCAACTATCGTCCAACATATATGTAAACAACTGACTATTAACGACGTGCCTATGGTCGATAGGCCTATCAGAAGGCGACTGAAAAGAAGCTGGATGAGGAATCTCCTTTTCTGCATTTATAAACTAAACATAGACTGGGATGAGGTGCTGCTGGGTACTACTTCCTCATGCCTGAAATGGTAAATCAATACGCAACACATACAGGTGTTAATGGAGGGTTAAAGAAAAAAGGTGTATTTCTAAAGTATTGATATGATCAATTTGGTTGTAAAATGTTATTTAAAAGTAGCCTGAAATAGTATAAACCAATATTCCTCCTTGACAGAATCTACTTCTATGGTAAGTGCGTTGACATATCATTACGGATTTTTCTGTTGTCTTCAAATAGTGGGATTTGACGATTATCATTGAAAATCAAATAATAACCGTGAGCACGGGCGGATCTACGAGAGGGGGGGGAGGCTTTCGGGCTGAAGCCCCCCAAAATGGTATAATATAACCATGTTTTATCGGAAAAAATATTAAAAAATTATCTCTTAAAGTATAATTATTCGTGTAATTACATTTAAAAGGGATTCAGGAATCACTTAAACAACAGTTCATATAGGTACTTAGTTTCTTTCTTATTTTCCAAAGTAATTATCGTTACTTTTATGAAAAAAAAGCTTTCGGGCTGAAGCCCCTCCCCCCAAAATTAAATCCTGGATCGGCTGGTGATCGTGAGTTAAAAACTCATTTCTCTACTCCTTATAAAATTAAATTTAGTAAAAGTTGATTCGGGGCAGTTATCAATGTGAAATATACATTTAAATACAAATTTTTTGTTCATTGCACTTTGACTGCAACCCCGAGCTAGCTAATTTAACTATCAATACTTAGAGGTAATGTTTTAATGTTTTTTTTTCATAAGACATGATTATATTTTAGTATTTTTGGGAGGCCTCAGATTGTGTCCCGGATCACCTCTTTTATTACTTTATATTTAGTTGTCGTTTTATTTATTCATTCAAACCCACCAGTAGTTGTATTCAATTTGATCCTTTAAATATCTAGTATGACTAAATAGCAAACACGGAATTAAAACTCTTTTGGTATGTTAAACTTTTCTAATGAGATATAACAGTGTCGAAAAAAAAAGAAAAAAAAAAAGGAGAAATTATTGTAATAATATTTATATCTCATGTTAGCGTTACATTTTTTTTTCACACTTTTGTTAAATAATATAGAAATTATTATCAAATATTCAAACGTAGGATTTTCCTGATTACAATGACAAGGGAGGCATATTACATTATATATTTTCAATAATGAAGGCGAATTCATTTTCTATAACATGTTTAATTTATAAGTATCCTTTAAGAGAAAAGAAAAATATACAATGTATGCTTAAAAGCTTAAACAACCATTAGAGAATGGAGTATTAATATAAAATCTCATACTACGATGGAATCAAAGGAAGAAGGTTAAATAAGTTTCTAGATTTATGAAGTACTTTTCAGACACAGGATATATATATATATATATATATATATATATATATATATATATATATATATATTGAAAATTGAATGGAATTAACAATTAACGAGACCAAGTTGAAGTTACCTGAAATTAAAAACCACCCATTGGACCAAAGTGTAAAATTTCAAAGTCACATTGTTTTGTTTATTTTTTTACGACTCAAAACCGGCCCTTTTGAAAAAGAAGATTAGAGATAATATTCTATTAGCTTTTTCTTAATCTATTTTCAAAGGCTCGTTTGTCTTCAGCTGTCGCCGGTCAACATGCGATCCTTGTTAGCATGCCTAAAAACAAAATTAGATACTCTGAAATCTAGATAACTTTTGAATTCCCTCGGTTCTTTCAATGATCTTTTTTTTTTTAAAAATAATAACAACAGCAGTTTCAATAATAAATCATAATAATCCAAATAGATAGTGTTGAATTATTAAACCATAACAGATAGAGGCCATGTATGAAACATATTCGCATGACATTGAAAACGTAAAATTATATGAAATACTAACGTAAAATCAATAACATTTATTTTTCCAGCTTTGAGCGCAGGACCGTCGCGTGGGTTTTTGGCGCCTGGGGCGAAATTTTATCAGGCACCTCCCACGAACTTGGCCAGTAGGTAGTTTATTCCCTCATGCTCGCGGTCTATAGTTTGGAGACTCCTGTCCTAGAGGATTTCTTCCATTGTCGTTCCCATTTTGAAGTTTTTCCTTAAAGCAATGTATCTGCTACATCCTGAAAGTATGTCCTTCATAGTTCTAGTTACTTAGCAATGGATGCATGCTGGAGCTTCCACTACTCGCAGGAGGTACTCGTGGGAAAACTCGTAAGGTCCGAATCGT